CCCCAGGAACCCCCAAAGAACGCCAAAGAATCATAGGACCCTGGCGGAAACCATACATCATGCCGGGGCTCTGAACAAATCTTCCAGGATGCCGGGCGCGCGCTCTGCCTTGAAGGAGACATGCTCTCTTTGGGTAAAGTCATGTTCAACCGAACATGCAACTTTGGGCCCCAAATAATCAATACGGTGGCTGAATCATGCTTAGTAGACTTGTCCCCCTCCCCACACTGAAGGACCCTTGAATGGAACACCTCCCTAGCACGGTAATCAAGCAGGGGCTCATTCTTCCTGTCAGAGCTCAAGGGCTAGCTCGGTCCAACCGAAGCCCAGCCAGCATGCACTAATTTATAAGTATACACACCAAAAACAGAAAGTGGAACCCAAAAGCGCGTCGTCGTTCCGGGAAGCTCCTTTTGGGAACCCCTTCTTCGCTTCCATGCAATATTATAGCAGAGCAAGCAACATACCGAGCGCAAAAAGCAGGCCAAGTCTTGCAACGTCGAGGAACCCTGTTGCATATCCTCCACCCTACGAGAGTTGAGAGATGAACCCCCTGCCAGTGGGAAACGTGCCCCACTCCAAAAATGTAGGGGGAAGTGACTTTGCGGGGGGGGGAACTACCCCCTTCCGTAGACTACTTAGAGGGTGGAGATGGGATGCTCAGGTTTGCAACACGCAGATTTCTTGCCATTTCAAACCTTGAAGAAGCAGCGGACCCAGAAGGGTCTTCCCTGCAATTACCCTTCATAAAAACCCCAAACGGGTACATTCAAACACATCCACCCGCTCGCTGAAACCCATGCCTGTAGGCACTCGCACGATCTGTCCGCAAAAGAGTCCAGGATTTTGTGTGAGGGCCCCGGCCCAACCCAAGCGAAATAAGAGCCCTAAGGGAGCCTTGGCCAAGGGGCTTTTCTGGTGAACGTGTTGGTGGCTCGAAACTCTGGAGTGTACCCATGTAATAGACTTCAAAAGGAACCAAAAGGACGACCCACATTTTGGGGGTGCGCATATTTTGACTCATATCGGGTTGACTTTGGCAGTGACAAATAGGCACCCAATTTGGGGCTTCCCCGATTCTTAACAAGCGTGTGTATTGATTGAGTTGTGGAGGTGGATAAACTGTCGGCAAAACCCTTTAATAAGGAGAAACATTGAGGCACCCCTACCCGCTAAAGGGTTCGATGAGAACCCTTTATTCGGAACCCGTCAGAGGTTGTTTCTTGGGAATGGGGGTCGTTAATCTCAGCACTTCCCGCGTTTGGCACAAACAACTGAAAACTCTTTCTGTACGACTCAAGTGGTCTTCCCAAAAACGACGGTTGAGTCGAGAAACCTTGTTAACAGCTACTCTTTGAATGTTGCATCCCATAACTTCCATATGAATCAAGGTACACTCACAAAGAAAGAGCTAAATAATTGAAAAATGTTGACCCCATATTTATATTAGTATGGGGGGATTCAGACCATGTTGATTCATCCGGGGTCAACTTAAGTTACACCATTTCATTTATGGCTTGTAGCTTGTAACTAAGTCAAGGTACACTCACCAAAAAATGATTTAACACACTATACACCATTCAATTTAGAACGTGAGTGTCCCTGCAGAACCTCCGGCTTTCGAAGCTTTCCTGGGGACAGCACGCTGGGCTGGTCGTAGGTGGGAAGGGCAGGCGCCAGGCCCATGATGCCGTTGGCACGCTGGGTGTAGAAGAGCTTGTTCTCCTTAAGTCCACGCTCAGTCGCCTCCATTTGCTTAAGTCCCCTGAAAAGACAAAAACAGTGGTGATAAACCCCCGTTAAATCCGACAGGGGGAAACATCTTCTGAAGCAAATGGAATATTTGCTTTAGTTGCTGAAAAAAAAGAAGCTGTTTCCAGTGGTGATAGATTCCTGATAAAGAAGATGGGGGACAACATCTTCTGAAGCAAATGGAATTGGGTTGTGCTTGTGTGGGAGATGACCCTTGCTGCTCTACCAAGGCATCACCCCATGCGGGTTTTGCTTCGTGGAACCCACGAGGGTTGGGCAGAATGTGTTACAACCAAGCCCTGCGCATTTGTTCAAACCAAAAGGGGGCCTGACGACACAAAATGTGTTTTGGGCCCCTCGTCACAGACTTCCCTTGAACTTAAGACTGTTGCCTTTGGCCTGCGAGGTGTTGGGTGGTTTGCTTCTTCTGCAAATGAGCAACAACCCGAAAAGGGGGGCCCGCAAGCGGAGATTCCTCTAATGGATGGCTTCTGGAATTCCAGGTTCATCTGCAGGAGACCCTATCAAATGAGCATATGCGTATGTGTGTATATATGTCATACATACGCGCGTAGATTCACATTGAGGCGCTACTATTTTGTGGGATATGTCCTACTCCCCACCTGAGGGTCCCCACTAAAAAATATACCCATGGCAGTCTTCGGGGTGAGTCTTAGGACCACCCTGGCTGCCGTGAACCCATCCTAAACCTTAAGCCAATTCCAAGCCTACACTCAACAAACACTAAGCCACACCCTTACATGCACGCAAAGTGTTGAAATCTGGTTCTGGTTGGATGCCTTGTTGAAATCCATCTAGGATCCACACTGGGAAAACTACTATTCTCAAATGTGAAGAAACGGAATCCAAAGATCACTAAGGCATCTACGCAAATTGCAAATTTGAACTAGAAGGTATCCGAATCCCCAGCAAAGAGGCCTTCAATGTTCAGACCTCGTGATCTGTTGCCCCAGGCCCATTTCGGGTTTCGACCCCAAAGAACTCGTGCCCCTTACGGGCAAGCCGTGCAACCCGGATATCCGCTTCAAACGTTGCAGGTGTCGAAAACCAATGCGGCAAAGAGTGAGGCACTTGATTGCACATCACATCTATTTGGGTGTCTTGTTTGAAGGTACCCTTTTCTGGTTGAAGAGGAAACCAGGCCCCCCCCCGGGGAAAAAACAAAAACGCCATTTGGGCAGGAACCATCTCATGTCACCCAGAGACTCCCGCTCCAACCCGCCCAAGGCGCTGAGTCGTGGCAGCCCATGCGCGCCGAGACCGGGGAGTTGCGGCTGAAGGAGTCGCCCAGCTCCACCTCGGGCCGATCGGTACCCGATGGGTGCCCCATGAATTCGGGGGAGGGGGGGGGTCCAAAGAGGGGACCCCTCCCTCGGGAAGCCCAAGAATGGTGCCAATCCATACCTAATCCAATCATATTTTGTTTTGAGTGAACGCCAACCATGTTCTTGTTCGTGGCTGGTTCCATTCTAGAGGAACCAAACCAAAAGGCATTTTGAGGGTGGCACTGCAACAACTGGGGCTGGTCTCTCCAAAGACCCATTCGACGGAACAGCCTTGAATTTGATGTTCAAAAGAAGCTTGTTTTGACACGTTGGCGTCTCAACCCATGAATTAAAAAAGGGGGTGAGCCACCTAACCCTGGGATATACATCACCACTTCCCTCTGATTTTTGGCCTGAACATAGATATTCATGAGAAAAGGGCTAGATTTAAGAATAGAGGGCAGGGATTCTCCTTTGAAGAGAAGACGGGGTGACTGTAAATGCCCTTTCCATTGGGTAAAAAACAAATTAAAATTGGGAGGTGCCACAGGGTAAGTAGAAGCTTCAAGGGTGTCCTCTCTGGGTGTCCAGTTTTGCCTGGATCATCTTGGTCTTTGTCAAAAAAAGCCTTTCGAAAGCTGAAAAAGTGACGCTTTCAAGCCTCGGGGCAAATGGGTGTGTCAAGCTGACTCATTTGCATGTCTAAGCCACATGCAACTGAGAAAAGTGGCCCACACCAATCCAGGGGGTCATGCACGCCAAATCCATTTGGCATTTTCTAGAAGAAAAGGGGGCAGAACCACAAACAAAGCTCCAGTTTCCATCAGTCCCTTGGCACAAAATGCACCCACTTCCGTGCAGACCTCTGCAGATACACATACGGAATCACATCTCTAAGAGCAAAACTCAAGAAACGGTGCATGCAAACCATCCGCAAGCGTCTGAGTCCGGCCCAAGGACCTTGTCAGTGAACCAATGCCCCTCGATGGCACTGCCTGCCAGGTGTGCGCCGATTGAGCGCGGGAGCCATGTGGAACCCCAACCCTGCGCAATAACGGAGGGCTTCCCGCGGATTCTGATCCTCCCACATCAAACCCCATTCAAAACTCAGCAGGGGCTAGCGATCTGGGGAGTTTTCATGGCCGACTTTGGGGATTTTGGCAACTTTTGTCAATTGCTTGGGCTTGGGTCAGCCTCTCAGGGAGTCAGCTAGACTCGCTAAACTACCAGAGAATCTGGGGCAGTACCTACGCGCGTCCCTGGGAATTTCTGCACAGCCAAAGGTTCCCCTTTGAGGACACCAACTGCATGGAGGCTAAAGGCGTATAGGGGCACGTACCCAAGGGTCACCTAGCTCTTCCCAAGTTGAGAAAAGGCGTGGCACAAACAGCCACGTATGGTGCTTTTCCATCTGGGTTTCCTGGTGAACCGGAAAAAAAGGGGGCACCCTGAAAAATAGGCAATCCACACTAAAATAACTAGCTAGTTGGGCATTGACATTTGCTTGCTAATCGGGCAAGGCATCTCCATGCGGCATTTGCACAGACTTAGATGAGGTTCATCTACAAGCACGGCGCCTAGAATGTGGTGACCTTAGAAAACGCTGTGACTACTTGGTTAGGAAACACACGCATCGATGTCCATTCTTTTGCGGGTGGACGGCGCTCAGGACCTCACACACGTGGACAAAAACTGGACAGATCTGAAGGTCGACTCTGGACAGTTGGCTGGGTGAAGTTGCGTAAATACTTTCATGGGAATCCAGCTGGAGCCGGTTTTGATTGAAGTCAAACACTTTGGGCCCCATACGTTCAGCTCGTGGATGCGCACGGCATCCGCCAACAGTTGACGAATCCCATGCTGAAAGGAGTGTGTTCTGGGCTGTTACGCATTCCCCCTCTCTCTCTCGTCCACATTACACAAAAAAATCAACATTGTGAACTCCCTTTCGGCCCATCAGTTCCCGCAGGTTCCGCTGAAAAAAAAAGCTTGACGTGGCCGTTGCCTTGAAATGTTGGCGTTCCCCTTGAATGCCCAAGTTGAGAAGTTTGGCTTTGCCCCTTGAGCAGTACCACACCGATGCTACCCAGCCGAGTCCGCCTTCGGAGTACTTCTCGGAGTAGGTGCACCTGTCACCGCCGCAATACCTCGGTTGGGGTTCCGTCGGATCTCCTTGACGATCTGGGATACACCACAAGATGTTCGGCGTATGTTTCATATGCCAGGCTTGAAATACTCATTGACATATTTTTGGAGACGGCCTGACAAATCTGGGTTGATCATGGTTGCCTTATTGGGCACCTTTACATTGTAGCACCCAAGAAAGGAAATGACAACCACCCGTACCAACCCCAAGTATAGAGATCCTTTCACCATAGCCCATGTAGGTGTTTTCGAAGTTGGTAGCCTTGTCAGGCTTGAAGAAGCCACTATGACACCAAACATCTAAAAAGAAGCCCGCATTTTGAACCCCGTTTTTTTTCTCAGCAAAGGGGCCGACAAAATGAACATCACAAAACCAGTCGTGCCCAAAGGGTCGATTTGTTGGATGATGTTGGATGGGCAGAGCAAGGCAGCGAAACCAAAACGGCTTGGGACTTGTTGAGCATCACACTCTAAAGGGAGCCAGACAACGGATTTCATGTCTCTTTGATGATTGTGTTGCAACCCACTCCTTCGGCAGAAGCAGAGCCCAAAGGTCTGCAGGTACGCTGACAAGAACAGGATTTGTGAAAGAATACATCCAGAAACCACCTGATCCACAGCGAGATTCTCCAAAACAGCTGATCTATCTGGTGGCCAAACTGTATCCTTTAAACAGGAAAGCTACAAATTCCCCCCCCCCTCCACCTCCAGCTTCTGATTAGGAAGCCAGCGGATATGGAATCTGACGATCGTTCGAGAGGCTCCCACTTCGCGGTGGAGGACTTGCTGATGTCCACCGCCGGCTCCTGAGGTGCGATGGAGTCGCCGGGTGTTGGGTTCACTCATCTCAGGGCGCCCAGCTTTTGGCAGCCAAAAAGAAGCCAACGGCACCTGACAGCCGCCGTTTTAGCGCACATTGGGTTGGACCGCCCTTTGGAGAGTTGGAGAACTAGCATTTTTCAGGGTCCCTGAAAGAGACATGTGGGCTTAAATCGCAGGATCCCCTCGCAAAAACATCCTTTCAGGAATATTTGCTGGCTCTCCCCGAAAGATGGCGGCTTGGTGTTGACATGGATGCGCCGAGGCGCCAAGTGCCTGCCGCAGTGGTCGCACCCGCCGCAAGGGAAGGCCAAGAGATGGCTCCCCGTGTCGATGATGACCGATGTCCTGTCCGAAGAAACATTGCCTTACCCCTAGCATAGGTGGCCTTTTGGAAAAATAGATGGCCCTGGTAAGTGGAATAAACCATCTAAACCAGTGGAACCCATCTATTTTTAACCAAGCTAACTTAAAAAGGACCCCTATGACCCATCCTGGGTCAATTGGCCAAACAAAGTCCAAACTTTACGTTATTTACCACGAACATGGTCCAAACCCAACAGTTTGAAGTCCAGGGACTCGAACAGTGAGACTTGGTTTGGTGGTTTGGACCTTAGGGGGGGTACCTTCCATAAGGAAGGAGCTTCAAAGGAACTGAGTCCCCAAACCACCAATCCAAGCTACCAACCGTTGCTTGAAAATAAGCACAAACACAGTTGTGAGTTCAACTGCAGCACCCCTAGCGACCCGCTCTCCTATCTTACGGCCTCAAGGGCACGAAAGGCTACTCAGCATTTAGCTAACACACACACCCACACCAATCTACTCAACCGAAAAGATGACTCTTTACTTGGCTTTCCTCCTAAATTGTTTACGCCCAAACTGGGGAGAAGGCGCTTCAGGGGTCAAATCCAAAAAGAGCCGAGTGGCAGCTGCGGGGGCGAGCCGACCAGAAGGTCCGTGAAGTAGTAGGCGTACCTGTCGACAACTGGATGCTAAAAAAGGGGTCTGGACAAATCAAACCCCATCGTCTCAAATTGGGTAATTACAAGTCATTGGCGATTTAGCGCCCTGATAAGAACCCAACCATGCCACATCCTACTTTAGCCGGTCCTTCACTTTGGGAAACACCCTCATCCAAGATGAAGGTTGGGAAAGGAAAGCCTTGAAGCCCCTCAATCTCCACCATCGATGGACGCAGATGGCCTGGGGGTGGTTCGCAAACCCAGCTAACCCTCCAGGCGCCCAAGCACCAGTTGCTGGCCCAAAGGAGCTGGAGCCCGAAGAACCCCAATGAATGGAGTGGTTTTTCTGCTCCAGACGCATGCGTGCCATAAACCCTCTCATCGTTGGCCATGGGCCGAGGTGATTTGTGGGCCAATTTGGGTATGTACTTTTCTTGAGAGTACCCACTTGGTGTGGTTTCAAGGGAAATCGAAGGGAAACCACTTGTTCTTTGTTTTTTGTTTTTTTTTGCGGGGGGGCTCCCACAAACAAGCGGGTTCCTCGTCCCTGGCCGGAAAGGTTATGGAAAAAAGTAGGGCCTTCAAACACCTGGTCGTCGAGACCAAGATCTACCTAGGCGCCAGGCCTCCTTGTGACCCTTGTTGGGGCGGGGGGGCGGGGCGGTAGGCTAAAGTCTCGTCCAAGAAACTCCTTGATGTTGCCATAGAGGTAGGCCGTCTCTGTGCCAGGCTCGCTAGCTGCCAGGGCGAAAAGAAGCACCTCAGGCGAAAGCGGCGCCAAGGCAACCCTGTCAATACAGGGTGACCAAAAAGGTGAATGATTCTTAAATGGGAACGATCAGGCCTTTGCAAAATGAGTGCTCAGCCCTTCTTTGCAGCTGGATGTGGATGGATCGAAATATTTACGTGGCTGCATGTCTTGAATAATGCCAAAACCCGAAACAAGACATGGATCCCCCGGTAAAAGACCTTCATCGAATCAAAATTGGCAGACCCTCCGTCCAATTCCCCGGCGTCCGGAGCCTGGGGCCACCTATGCCATGGAAAAATAGGGCACTGTGGTGGAAGAACAAGATTTCCTGGCGTTAACTCGGACAGTGGATTTCCTGCACACTGGTTTTGCTGAGCCAAAAGGTGAAAGGTACACCCCTCAAGAAAAAATAAACGAGGAGAAAGGGAGCCACTGATCCGGTGCTTGCGGACTGGCCGTGGACTTGCCCTTGCCTCAGGAATGCTAGTTGATAAAGTGCGAACAGTTGCATGTTCTTCCAGAACCTTCCTAGCGCAGCTGATCCGCCAAAACAATCAGAATAATTAAACCTGAAAGCCTAGGTGAACTCGCCATAAAGGCAGAGCCACGGAGCCTCTCGTTTCATCGAACATCAGACGCTTTCGGTTGAAAAAAGCCGAAAACGGCTTCTCTTTCTATGGGCCAACAGCACAACCAGCCACTTTGCGAAACACGTGTGTTGTCCTTTTGCTTGCCCTTGGCAAGCGTCCAATGCACGAGTTGCGGTGTTTTTGTTATTGTTTTGTTAAGCAACGCTCAACAAGGAAAACTTGAAAAGAAAGGGGCCATCATCAGGAGTGCCGTCGGCAACTGTCATCTAAGTTCTGCAGGGGGCTCAAAGCCCAGCATCAATAAGTCCCTGGTCAATGAATTGAGTAGAAGAATGTCCCATTCAAAAGTGGATCCTCCACTTTTGGCGGAACCACCCCGCTAAGTACTAAGTCCAGCTTGCTTCATTTGTCAAAACTTACTCACCGACGAGTTCCCCGCTTGACTTCGAAGCGGCAAGTATCCAACTCCGCATCGCGGGTTTTAGGACGCAGCTAAGGCCGGCCACTGGTGGGCCCCTTCTCGCTGGGCCACACGGCTAAGAATGAGTCGTGAGCGACGAGAGCTAATTTCCATGGGGTAACCCGACTGATCAAAGGCCACTTCACTTTTGTGTGGCTCCTTTGGATGTGCTCTTTGATTCGGTGCGCAACTTCTCAGCCTGAGCGACCAGCCTATGTTTCCGCACGGGTGCTTCCTCTCAAGCCTACCTTGTGTTCATGCAGCATTGCATGTGTGCAGACGTTGTCGCTTTTGTGTTTTTACATCTGTGCATGATCACACAGCACGCCGAGCGATGAAGCAACAACAAACATATAATGATGCATACAATGCACGCAAATGAATCAAAGAGTCAATGAAACAATCAAACAAACATCGTTGGTGTACATACATGCATATCCCTGCTCCTGTTTGATGGGAACCCAAAAGGAGGTTGCTCGAATGACTCTCTAAAAACGTTTGAACCAGAGGTTGAATCCCCCACCCGTAGCCCCCACCCCTCATGGAAGGCCCTAACTCATCACTAAGGACTAACTTTGAGGATCTCGACTAGGATTTGATGCCGATTACCCCCTGACCAAAACAGAAGTTCCCAGAAAGGCAAAGGCCAGGATCCAACTTAGTCTCACTTGCCCAAAGGTTTGGAAATGAAGGGTTGACCTTTTGGAGCCTTGACTAAACATGGGCCAAGTCAGGAAAACCAAAAGGTAAACAGGTCCGTTCACTTTGGACAACTGGGAAGCGTTCAATAGACACGAGAAACAAACGGGCCACAGAGAGTTGTTGTTTTTATCCCGGAAGCTAAACGAAGCAACGTTCTGCGGATCTTGCCCACTTACAGTTTGCGAATAGGTCGAAGACAACGCATCCCCGATCAAAGAACCAAACTGTTTGTCTGCCACTAAAATGGTCCAAACCAACAAGTGACTAAAGTCCCTGAACTCAAGGAGAAACAAACCCTGCAAATTCCCTTAAAGGACCCCATAGATGGTTCAAAATCGGGGTCATGTCATGTCTCATTCCCTACCTATCGCGCCAGCCAGTTTTTCTTCTCCAGTCTGCGCAAGGCAATGCGCGACACCTGGGCCAGCGCCGGCAAGGCCTCGGAGTTCGATCTTTCGATTCGTTTGCCGCACTCCGCACGGCCGAAGGGCGAGCCCCTCTCGAGGGGATGGGCCCACAAAAGTAAGCGCCACACTTTTTGCGTGCCACTAAAATGGTTTGAAAAAGGCGAATGTCCAGGAACTCAGGCAGTGAGGAGATCACTGGATTTGTCCCTTGATGCTTTTTTTTTCCGGGTGGGCTTCGCTAAAAGTGCCCCTTGTGGGGGTCTGAAAGAAAGGGAAATTGAAGGGCATCACAGGGCCTACCCAAAACCATGCGAAGAATCAAAACGGAGATCCAGACCTGTTTATGGTTGCTGCCAAGTGATGGCCGGTTCCTGTGCCCACTTCGATTCCAAAAAACTCTGAGTGCCCTTCAGGATTTCTAAGGGGTGTTTACCCAGACCCCCAAGGACAACCCTTTTCTTGGCCGGTTGATTTTGCAGCGACACCCGCAAAAAAAAAAAGGAACAGAAACAAGGGAGCACCCTCTGGAGGTGTGGGAGGGCCCCCTGACGAAACAAGTAATAGGAATGGATAGATGGACTCGAATATTGCAAGTTTCCTTTTGGAGAAACTAAGGCCTAGGCTGAGTTGTTTGTAAAAAAACATACTGCGCGGAGAAGAACAAATTTCATTGGGTATGATACAAAGGGCATGCCAGCAAGCACTCAGGGCGTCTATCAAGGGTACACACTTCAGACTTCAGGGCACATGCTTGAGACCTTTGGACATCTGCCTTCAGCTCTTCAGCACAGAGTCCAATCAGCCCCACTCCCATCTGGGACAGATTCGGGATCTGAATAATAACCAGTCCTATTCATAACGGGGCGGGGCCGCTCCAAAAGTGATGGATTGTCACTACAAGGCTTTTTCAGTTGAAACGGTCCCAAACAACTACACATAGCCATTCAAGCCTTCACTTTGAGGAGAAACCAGAGGTTCCATTTCCAAAGCCAATCATCCAAATCACTGAAGCTCACCCAGCAGGTTGGCATGCTGGCCATCAAATGCTAGCTAGCTATCTCTCTCTCTCTCGCTCTGCGTTGATGGTCCAAACAAAGAGGAGTAAAGGCGCGGTCGCCGATTGGACAGCAAAACCTTTTTGGGGCAAACTGAACGTTGCAACCCCTGCCAGGGCATCCCGGATCGCAACCAAAAGGTGATAACCCAGGTAACCTACCCTTCAAAAGCGTTAAACCAAAGCGACAATGGGGGGGGAATTTCTTGGAGGGAACCTTTTTTGGGTTGCTTTTAAAGGAAAACCAAAGGGAAACCACTGGTTTGGGGGATCTCCCTATTTAAAGACAAGCCACAATGGCCTTTGCTTTGTCGTGCGTTGGGCATACTCCTTGGGTTTGTTTCCGTCGTCGTGTTTTTTCTTTCCCGAGAGCTGGTCTCGAGGCTTTGCTTGAGGCTTGCATTTGGCGGGTCCGGGTTGGGGTGACCGGATTGTGGGCACCAAAGAGAGCGTGACTGTCCCGTTGCCCCAATAGAATCTGGCCAAGGGGGGGGTTCTTTTTGAACGTAACAAATGCAATCATGCGCCCAAGCTCACGACATCCCACCTCATTTATTCCAGGCCGCTTGCGCGTACTGCCCCGCTTCGCAGGAAGTCTCGGAAAGAGTCCTTGGCCCATTGTTGGTGAGCTGCCCTGCTGAACTCAAAGCGAGCATCACCAAAATTATTCCCTTGCGGCTCCTTCAAGTTTTCTGGCTTGGTGGCCCGTAAAAATAATCCCTTTGAGAAAGCAATGCAAAGACAAACATGCAGGAAGAACAAGCGGATGGCCATTGGCCCTTGCAAAATTGCACAGTGAACCTGAGATATGCCTATGCGTTCGCCTTTTGCGTTGAAATTCAGCAGAAGCCGCCATGTGGCCTGGACATGCACCGTTAGTGAACATTTTGATATCTTCGGAAACGGTTTGACCAACCGTTTGTTTTAACATGGTTCCGCTGGTGCCTTTGCACCAGCACATCTTGTTCACTTGCAAAGCAACCTGCCAAACGAAAGGAATCACCCACTGCACTGGGTTGGCCCTGATAGGGGAAAGCCGCGACAGGCCTTTACCCGACTCACAAAAGCACGGCAAAGCTTTTCACATTGGGTTTTTCGGCCAAAATGAGGAAACGCCCCCCCCCCCCCCCACCCCCACTGATCCCCCTGGTCAGGAGAGCTCAGGGTTTGGAGAAGGGTCTGCAGGGTCAGGGCATCGGGAGAGGTCTCCATCATGGCGGCCACTGAAAGCGCCTGCTGCCATTGGTGGCTGCCTGACCGAGCGTTGCACCGGGGCGCCGTATTTTGTTGGGCTAGGAGATTCACGCAAAAGAAAAACAGCACTCTCCGCAAAAAGGAAAAGCCCCATAAAAAGGCAAGCTGTTCTCTCTGTTTCCCTCTGTTCCCACTAAACTTTGGGAATGTGAAGACATGTATAGTCCAGGAACTGGGGGAGGGAGTGAGGCGAAAGACGCTCCAAAAGGCACCTGAGCGGTTCGGTGTTCTCCGCCCTCGATACAGTGCTTCGTTCTGCTTTGCTGGGCCCACCGAATCATCAAAAAATGTGATCTAAACGGGTGTGGCTCAAAAGCAGCTGGTGTTATGCAGGCTTTAGCCTGGGCTTCCATATACCAAGGTGCCATTTTGCGTACTGTTGTGTGAGCTACACTCTTTCTATGGCTTACAGGGAACCACCTTACCTTTTTGGGCCCGGTAAACCAAACTTCATACCGCCAAGTGGGAAGTCCGATCTTGAGCCACAGACCCCGCCTTGGAAGGCGCGCAGCCCCGCGTTGAAGCTCACCACGTCCGGCGCCAGGCGCGCCTCTGGCCTCAAAAGAACAGCACCCATGACAGATGTTGCAACTTGAGGGGTTCTGTCAAAAGACTTGGTTCCCTTTGACCCACAATTTAGAGGGGTTTTGAGGGGGGTTCCTGTAAACCACAGCTTCTTAGAGGGTATACCTTAATACATTTTGAGAGTATCACTTTAAAACTTTCACGAGCCGGGAGTGGGGTAGGGTGATTTGGTTGCAAGGTTGTATTTGATCTACCCACAAAAGGGAAGCGGAATGCAACGCAATTCGAAGGGGCCCCCTCAAATCCATTGACAGGACGGCTCACCTGCCCTTTCCCTGTTCCAAGAGGAAGACACGTGCAAAGTGGCGCGGCGTAACGTGTCGTCATCCAACAAGCAGTTGGGGATGCCGCAGGATTCCCTCATGTGTCATCCCAATCAACTCGCTCCTTAAGTGGATTTGCCAAACAAAGTCCAATCGCGGTTGCCACGCAGATGGCTCTTCCCAAAGAGTATGACACCCGGGAACTCAGGGAGTGAGCGAGCCAACCGAGGCACGGTTGGTGACAGACGGGCTCCGCCCAACGCCTGCATGACAATCTACAGCTGGTAGTAAAAGGGTCCCCAAACATATCAAAATTATTTGAGCGGCCACACCGATTTCTGGTTGGGAGTGTCCCTCGCTCACCTTCACTCTACCAGAGCTTTGATCGTTGCACCCCTCAAACTCGCCCTAAGCCAGCCACAACCCAACCCCTCATCCCAGTCAAAACCCCAGTCTTCAACAAGGCCCCTCACCTCTCCGACCATTTCCCTCATTGCTTCAGGGTCGCCATCCCCCGTCTTGGGCCAGCCGTTTTACCCCAGCCGAGGCGCATCCGCGCCAAAAGCGCCGCCGCGCGGCGCCACTGCCGGCCCTGGGCGCAGGCGTCCAGCGCCGCGGTGAAGCACCGCACGTCCGCCGAGGCGCTCGACGCGGCGAGGTCTGAGAAGAGGAGGAGGGCCTGCGGCGCATCTCCGCGGCTTGCGGCGCATGGCGCTAACCAAAACGTCCCAAGTTTTTGTTTGTTTTTTGGTTGGAAGGGGAAATGAAGACAGCCCAAAGGGGCAAAAGGGGAGGGCCGAGTTGAGCCTGGCAATGCTCACAACTGGCTCGCTCATCCCTTAGATGTTTTCTGACCCTGCCCGAAACCTCGGGCTCGAGGAACCCAATCTCTACTAGCCCAATGGCAATGCAGCCCTTCGGAGCAAAAAAACGGGTTGCCGCTTCCTTGGCGTGGTTCCAAGTTGGTTTTAAATGGAGGTCTGAGGCAAAGTCCTCCGGTCACAGTCCCTACGCAAATGGTCCGAGAGGGAGGGCTACGTGGTATTAAGTGGTTAACCCTCAGATGCTCACCGGGTGTGTCGTTTTTCTTGAGGGTGCCATTTTTTGGTGGCTTTTTTAAAGGGAAACCAGAAGGAAAGCAGAAGCGACCCGCTAAAAAATGACACGCCCAACCATGAACAACACATTTTGGCCCATCCGCTGCCGGAGCTCTGCTTTTAATGCCGCTCGCCAATGGCTGCGGGGCACGGAACAGGCGAGCGCCCACGGCGGGAACCATATCTCCCGCGAAAGGCCGTGCAAGACAGGTGTTCCAAAGTCGAACGAGCAGGATTTGTTTTTGTCTGACTTTTGAGGGCAGCCCCTTTTGGCTGAGTTCTGCAGGGTGCCCTCAGAACTAAGCCATACCGGTTTGGAACGCTGTTCCAAACGAATTAGAAAAAAATATCTCGGGCCCCTGGTGGGCCCGTAACTTCCGAATTCATGCATTCCTCCAAGCGAGGGAAAGAGCGTAATTATGAGTAATTAATGGATCGACAATGCTCTCAAAAGGTGCAGTGTGTGCGGCAGCTTGGGCATCCTCTTTTTTGTCTTGGCTCTTATTCCTGCCGCGAGCATTTTACGCTTCTAACTCCTTCATGCTGCCAATGCACTCTCAGTCCCAGGATACTCCCCGCCGTCCACACGCCGTGACATTTCTACAAGTGTACAAGAGGCAGTTGCCGTCCACAAAAACCAGCCGAGAAATGATGCGGGAAATCGATCAAACGCATCTCTGTGCGTGATCTCGGGGACCCGCGATCCTTCTTTCGCAGCTTGCCTTGCAGAGTTGGGTCAACGACTTGTTGAAAGATGCTTAGGACACGCTCTGGGCTCACAAAGGAGGTGTTGGCCAAGCCGGATCCAGGACCCTTACTGGAAAACCAACAAGACGGGGCCGCCTTTTCGCATCCTTACAGCACAACCTATTGTTCAAACAGCCTCCACTTGGTGTCTCGTCCAACCCTGGTTCCTTGCCTTCGCATTGTCGAACTTCTATGCCCTGGCAGCTGCTGCAGGATTCGACGGACTTTCTTTGGATTCCATTTTCAGAACAACAAACATTAGGTTCTGAAAACTTTTTGTGTGCGTTCCCTTCTAAGAGAAACCCACAAAAATGGGCAAAGCCGCAAGCGCCCTTGGGCCTCCTCAAATCTTCCAGCGTGTTAAATGGAAACCCCGCTAAACCCGGAAAAAAATCTACAAACCTGAGGGGATGGCTCGGAACCACCAAGCAAATTTGTTTTCCCAAAGTGGAAAGTTGAGGAACTCATGGGGTGAGCGGGTGAGCCTTTCGATATTCCAGAGTCCTTGGGATAACAGGGTTCCCACCTAGAGGCGCAGAGTGCGACACATCTCTGTGCCTTGTAAGATAGAAAGGACAAGAACCCCCTCAACGCGTCAAAAGGTCGGCGAGCCTAATTAGTTGCAAGGGCTACAAGGGCAAAGAAACAACGACCGAACGTGAACCTAACAGCTTCGTTTCAATTTGCCATCTCTTTGAAGTTGAGGGGACCACCTGATTCTTCCACAAAGAAGGTCAGTTGAAACGGCATCCCGAAACGCCCTGCGTGCCGTCCCGTGCGACAGTTCGCCCAGGCTCGCTTTTGGGGCCTGCCAAAACTTCATGGGAATGTGTCAAAAACTAGGTAGCCCTCAACTCCTCCACTTGTTTGTTTGCGGGCAATCCCCTTTTAGTTGGATTGAAAGGCAAACCATACGGAAGAAAACAACACATGTTGGCGGGTCCAAATCCTAAGAAAGAACAACTCCAAGTGACTGATTGACTCTTGGTGTCAACTAGAGCTGAACCACCATTGGTGCTTGCGAAGCTGGTTCGAACCAGGGTTCAACTTGATCCCAACACCTGAATCGAAAACAGACGGTGAATGCTGCTTCCTTGCAACTTAACAGAGCCCCTTCTAGCACATTACAAATCAACTTCTCCTTGTCATCGGACCCTCTTGCGGGGTTCCTGCTCCTTCAACGCAAATTATCATCCAACCACAGAGGAAGCCGCCAACTCTAGAATTCCGCAAAAAATGCTTGGTCGGGTACGACCTCTACTTCCACCTCTCCTTTCGAGCAACTTCTTCGCACGCGCAGCCGGTTGCAGTTTCCCAAAAACAACGCTCCCAAGCTGGCCTGCACAGCATCAAGGCCATGTCGTCCGCGCTGCGGGGGCTGCCGGCATCAGGCCAGGTTACGCTATGAAACTCTGGGCAGGCCGGCTTGGACTGCCTTGCACACAGCATCATGGCCATGTCGTCCGCGCTGCAGGGGCTGCCGGCATCAGGCCAGGCTACGCTATGAAACTCTGGGCAGGCCGGCTTGGACTGCCTTGCACACAGCATCATGGCCATGTCGTCCGCGCTGCGGGGGCTGCCGGCATCAGGCCAGGTTACGCTATGAAACTCTGGGCGGACCGGCTTGGATTGCCTCGAGCACAGCATCATGGCCATGCCGTCCGCGCTGCGGGGGCTGCCGGCATCAGGCCAGGTTACGCTATGACAGTCTAGGGTGACCGGCTTGGATTGCCTCGGGCACAGCATCATGGCCATGCCGTCCGCGCTGCGGGGGCTGCCGGCATCAGGCCAGGTTACGCTATGACAGTCTGGGCTGACCGGCTTGGATTGCCTCGGGCACAGCATCATGGCCATGCCGTCCGCACTGCGGGGGCTGCCGGCATCGGGCCAGGACACTTGGCCTTGGATGTTGCAAGAGATGTGCAAGAGCTCGACGCTGTGAGAACATATGCGCGTGCTTAGAGGGCCCGGGACTTGGCCCAGTCCCGTGTGACAACTAGTGTGACCTTGAATGCAAGCAAGGCCCCAAACCCCCGGACAGCCGCCTGCCCTGTGCCTGCCTGCCTGCCTGCCTGCCTGCCTGCCTGCCTGCCTGCCTGCCTGCCTGCCTGCCTGCCTGCCTGCCTGCCTGCCTGCCTGCCTGCCTGTCTTCCTACCTGCCTGCCTTCCTACCTGCCCGCTCCTCCCTGGGTCCGCTGGACCTGCTACCTGCCTGGTTCAGCTGGAACGTGCGGATAGGACTGTCAATCCGGCAACCCCATCTGACGCGTGGGAAAAGCGAAAACACAACTCCAAGTGCTGGCCTGAGCAGACAACCGTTCCAAGGTGTCCCGCAAGCGCAGCCCGGCTTGGCGGGTGCGTCAGCCAAAACTGGTTCCCTCCTGTGCCCAGCTGCCAACTTTGGCCTGGGGCGTGTCAATCCCGGTGCTGCATTAGAGCATTAGAGATCGAATAACATTGACTGTTACTCACGCGCCTCTGGGGAACGGCCCTCTTCTTGAACGGAAGAAGGAGTGCACTTAACAACCACGAAGGAAGTCTCCAACAGTTTTTGCTACATGTGAAGTGGCTGAATGGAGTCATTTGAATAACGCCGGTTGGTAATATCATAAGGCCTGGAATCGCTTGTTTGATTCCCGGATCGCTGGCAACGCGCGGCCTAAATTGTCCAGAAACAAATGCCCCTGACATGCGCGAAGCACGTGAATCATGGACCTCCAAGGGGTATCAGTGGTACTGCCGTATCAGGGGATTAAAAATGATAACCCCCCCCCCCGAAATAAAACACAAACAAACAAACAAACAAACAAACAAAACACGGAGCCTTCTTGAAGGCCCCCGAATGAGAAAAAGGCCACCAGCGATCTGAGGCTTTCGGATTTCGGGTTCCCGGGCCCAAAAGGCGCCGCTGCGAAGTTCGCTTCTCAGCCTCCGGAGGCTGGGAGGCTTCGTCAGTGTGGCTGAGACTGTTTCGAATCTTCTTGCTGGCCTCTGCTGAACCTCCAGGCCCCTTGGTTTGCCTGCTTTGGCTACTTTGCTCTCTCGTGAGATGCGCAATTTTGGACTTTGATGGCCTGGGAACGCCAATTTTTTCTAAACCCCTGGTTGGTTGATTGTGAGTTGGGGGCGCCCCCTTTTGGTGGGAATCCGGATGACTTTTGTGGGTGATAACCCCTGTTAATAGGACAGGGTGATGAGACCTCACTTTGCCCCGCATCCCCGAAATAGTCTGGCAAGCCCTGGACTTTGCCATGGCTTGCCGTTGGTTTCGCCACATCTAGGACTCAACTGTGCGCTTCGCAGTGGCCCAGTGAAAGAAAAAAACCGACCTTTGCTGGCGCCCGTGCTCAAACACAACTTGAAAAAGTGCTGACATCCACACAACTTCAAGCCTTGTTAAACCTCAAAGGGGCGAGTTGGGCTGGAATCCACTAGGCAACTGGAGTTCTCTTATCTATACTGCACTTACCCTCCCCCAGACTAACATGGAAGCTCCCAGGACCCCTTTGGAAGACTTAGTTCCATTTACGGGGCCTTCTGGGAGCTTCCATGTTAGTCTGAGTGATCGAAACGAAAGAATGAGTACGCGCGCCTCGGAGGCGAGGCAGAGGGTGCGCGACAGCCTGTGGAGCGATGCCGGGTCAAGAATCACTCGGCGCAGATTCGGAAGATATGTCCCAGGCCTGCAGCCCCTGCTCCCCCCTGCTCCCCCCTGCCCCCCCTGTGGTTGTGGGGTTGGTTGGTTTGGTTTGGCATTGGTTTCCCCCGTGTCACATATATATATATATATATGTGTGTGTGTGTGTGTCTTTTGGAGGGCAGCATTTTCGGGGTTGTATGGTGGCATGTATCATGTAAAGGTTGCAAATTTGAGGCTATAACCTGGAGGCATACTTGGGACAAACCCTCAGCTTGAGCTGCAGCGCCTTCAGCTGTGTTGCAATCACGGGGTTCCTTGCCAAGCCCTCCCCCGGGCAATGGGCCAAGCCAGCCAAAATGGCAAGAGGCACAGCAGATCTTCCAAAGTCCCCCAGCAACTGATTCAACAAAGGAGGAAAAGCGTCGAACTAAACTTCCCCTAAACGTCGCTCGGGGTTGGGCATCTTTGCATCGGCCTCAATTGACTGAAGGCTGCCAGAGCATCGGCCGGACGAACATATGGCAAAACGTTGATCCAAAAAGTGATGTTCAAACCACCTTCCCGTTGCTTGAGGAGCCAGAGCGGGCAAACAAGCTGCGACAACAAGTGGCATCTTTACCTAAGAGATCTGAGTGATTCAGGTGGGGAAGGCCAGATAGTGATGGGAAGCCACCATTGCTGGCTTTTACTTGCTCCGAAGTTTTGATGTCTGCCTCTTGTCTTGCCCGATTCCAGGCTCATGGAAGCCAGGACCAGGGTGACTACCCTCCCCACTAAAATGGACCCCCTCCCACATGCACTCCCGCAGTGCCTATGGTTCAAACTGGTGGGTTCCATCTTGGGCCATGCTCCCAAGGCGCAGGCTTCCTCCAAATGAGATCAAAGGACTCAATCATGCCGTAAGTTGGGCGTCCTTTTTTTGGGGAAACCCAACATCTGTTTGGCTTGAAAGTGAAACGTAAAGGACAAACACCATTTTAGGGGCTCCCTAATTTTGAGACAAGCCCATTTGGGGCCCTGGCTTTGCGAAGGAAGTCCACACCGGCATGAGCTTCAGCACGGAGCAGCGAGGTGCGGGGCGTGAGGCTGATGGACCCGAAATGGCTGCCGGTGGTTGAAACGTCGATGCGGAGGAACGTCTGGAGGCGTGCCAAAGGGAAAGTTGAATTTAGCTGTGGTTCTCCAGGGGCCATTCTGCATGGGCGCCATTGGGTTTTCAAGGTTAGCCTTGTGGGACGTAATTACACCAAACCATCCAACCCAAAAAGTAGAAAGGTCGGTGTTGGGCTGTGGGTCATCAAATGTTGAACCAGTCAGCGGTCTTCTGAACTTGGGTGGCTGGTAGTTTTCGGGGGCGGTGACGACCTAACCCATAACCCCTCCCAAACAAGCCATCAACAAAGCAGTGCTCGGGGAGCTGAATGAGATCCTGGGATGAGGGTAGCAAGCACTGAAACAGCCTGCCTGCAAGGTTGCTGAAATTCAGGCAATCCAAAGGGTATTGTTTTTCCAAGGGTCCCTGAACAGTTGACACAATACTATAAGGGCCTAAATACAGAGAATAGGGAGGGTCATGGGGTCCTTCAAACAAAACGAAGTCATGATCATGTGAGAATAGTGTGTTGCTAAAGTATTTATGTAGCCCCTTATCTTTAACACACCCTTGTTGGCTTCCCGGGGGGGGGGGGAAACAAAAAATGGTTGCTCTTGACCGCACGCAGTTCGGTGGGCAGCGCCTGTTGCCATTGCAGGCCGTTCTGGCACGCGGACATGGCAGCGCTGTAAGCGAGCACATCCTCAGTTGCCCAAAAATATGGAAGTATCATTCGGGTTGCCTTGACTGAGAACAGGCCCGTTGGAAAAGGTGCTTCCCAAGCCTTGAAAGAAAGGAAAGCCGCTTTAGAACGGGCAAAAAGCCAAACCCCCCCAAATAAACAAAAAACAAGATTCTACAAATGATGGAACACCACGCCAAACAAAGGGAATCCCGAAAGGTTACGAGGTCGCTTCTCTATGGACCTGAGCGTCCACTCCCTGTGTCCGCGTGTCGAACAGCAGGCCCAAGGCCGCCTGCCACTTCTGGTACCGGCCGAAGGCCTCACGAAACGAAACACTGCCATATGACATCCAACTCCAGAAGGGCTAAGCCAAAACCTGGTCCCCATCACATCTAACAAGCAGACAGAGGGACAAAGAGACAGAGAGACAGGCAGGCAGGCAGACAAATGACGCACTGTCGGAATGAAGATAACGTGGTTACCATCCTCAAAGTAAAAGAACATGCTAACTTATGCTGAACTGACATATGATGTTGTCAAAGCTTCCAGAGATGGTTTGTAGCAAGCTAGACTTGACACAAAGACGAGATGCCAAGACTATGTTGTTTTTGAATCATAGGTGGGCAAGGAAATGATTATGAATGATATTTGATGAGTAACGCAAAATATGTCACATGATAATGATGGACAATAAATAAGGAAATATGACGATCCTTGAATAGATTCAACTGATAAAACAAACATATGAGGATTAATAGTTACATAACCCACAAAGTGTTCAAGAGATAGATAACAAGAAACCTAGACATGATTCACTGTCTTTCCTTCTTTCTATCTCTTATTGCTAACTATTTGTTTTTAATCAACCGTTGTCTTTTCCCTCTCTGCATCATTTCTTACGATTGAAGATGCCCGGGGAAAACCAGAACTAGACAATATCAAAACAATATGACGTTAACAAGGCAAGAAATGCAAGTATTGGAACGGGAATAGAATACCCATTCAGTAGCTCTGGAACTCTCTTCCTGTCATCACTTTCTTGTCTGATTATTTCATTCATTCGGGTCCTACGGCATTGCCTATTCATCTGTCCGCTCTTTGTCACACATCCAATAGAAACTAACTGGTTTCAAGGATGGAGCTGGAAGAACATTATCTACGTCTGGTAGCGAGCGTGAGATGGTGAAAGCTGAAGGATGGGTTGAGATCTCCGGTCGCGAGATTTCACCTTGACCGACCTGAAGGAGCGAGAGCCCCTAGCCTCACCCAACCCACTCTCTACGCCATGTGGGTTGCGAGCTTCACGCCTTGGCGAGTTTGTCTGCATCCATCGCCGTGTTCGAAACCAAACAGAGAGATGGAAGTCCCAACCTGGCTTCGTACATCAGATGGTTAGTGGATGAAAGGATGAAACGGTCGGCTAACAGCTGCCAATGAAGGATGCTAGCCAGACAGACAGACAGACAGACAAACAGACAGGCAGGCAGGCAGGCAGACAATCAAAACAATCAAAATGACACAACACAATACAAAGCAAAACAAAACAACCAACTTGCGGTTTTAAAGAACAACCGCCCACCCAGCAGCAAACCAACCACAAATTCCAGGTCTGGAGGCGGGCATGCAGGCGTTCAGGGTCGCGGCGTCCGGGAGAGGGCCCTGGTCTTGCCTTAGGTTTTGGGCTGGTCTTGAGCTGGGAACGCTCCAGCTCAGACGGCTTCGGTTTTCTGTTTGACTCCCAAGAGGAAACTCTCCCACGACTGGCTCCTAAATGGGAGATATAGGGACCCGTGTGAAACCACACCCAAATCAGTGGGCAGACATGTGCTCAAGGACTTCTTCTGAAGCAAGAGGCAACAACAAGTTCTGGAGGAAACGAGGCAAACAAGGACAGGAGAGCAAGGACACAACACGGCGGAAAAATGCGAAATGGCGCAAGTGGTAGACCAGCAAGCCAAGAGTCCTCAAGAAAACTCCCCAAGCCCTGGTATTTGAATGCATTTGATCCAAACCGTTTCCACCGCCGTTACTAAACTGAACAGACCCCGCACCCAGAACTGTCAAGTATTGGTAACGACAACTTTCATTCCCCTCTATGAGGCTTTTCCATGCCCAGCAGTATCAACCTTGACCGTCCGCCCCAAATAGTCAAGCAAAGGCTGTCCTAGCGGAATTGTACCTGAACATGGACAACAATTAGCAAGCAGGAAACCCAAATGGTCAAGAATGCATAGACCCCATCACACATTTTACAAATCTACTAGACATGAAACACTAACAACGAAGTACTAATTAATACAGGCAAAACCAACAACACGCACACGCACACGTTAAACACAAACGCGCCGCAAAACCACGCGCGAAAAAAATGCTATTTGGCTGCAGCCCCGTTGCATGGACGACAAGATGCATGCGGCAGCTTGCCATCGGCTGACAAGCTGGCATGCACCTCATTGGCATGTGGGGGGTGATCAATATTCCATTTAGGGCCCCAGAAAGTCAATGGGTAACTATTTGCAACTGGCTTGTTTCAGCTTCCCCTGGAGAACACCCAAACTCAGCTTCTGCCATGTGTTGAGTTGGACTTGTTGTGTGGGATCCTCAACCAATCCGCCAATCCGAGTCGCCAGGGTTAACCAGACTGTTGGCGCACCATTCACTTCAACCCCCGAAGGCAGCAGCATGAAACAGGATTGACCAAGAGTAAAACAATTGTCAATTGCGAATCCCAAGGCCCAAACACAAACAAACACATGAAAGCATGGCGAATTGAAGCCAAACAACAATTGGAAAACAGGATCCTCCGAGTCCCACGGAGAGGTTCCTTGGGCGCCAGCTGGGTTGACTGGCCAGCACTCAGCTGGTAAGGAACCGACTTTCCTTGTTGGAGATTCGCGTTTACTTCTTAACATTTTCACATAGAATAACTCATTTGCCACGCGTCATTTCCTGTTGTATGCATTTGCCATTTGCCCAAGGTGAACGTATATCTTTTCATTTGCCAGGCGATAGAGCCTCCCAGGTTTCCCGGAGCTTCCATTGATGTCTCCGCCAGGTTCTACTTCTAAACAATCATGCTGGTGGTAATTGGGGCTCTATGCCGCCCTATTGTCAAAATAGGGATGTCAAGCACCCCTGGACGCTTCGGTTCCCACAACGTCCATGGCCAGCAAATCCCGGGTCAACATTGAGCGTCACAAGGACAAGCGCACAAGGCGTTTTCTTGGCAATTGCACCGTTTTTGGACTACTAACATGAAGCAGGTGCTTGATTTTAAAGGGACTCACCTATTTTTGTCGTTCTTTCTTGGAGGGGGGGGGCTACTTGTGTTTAAATTAAAGGATCTTAAAAGGGCCCCTTTCCGATACAGAACGGGGCGCAGATCGCCGCGTTGCAACTGATGGTGGTAGGCTGAAGGCGCACCACAGGCATCGAAGACAAGACGTGCAGAGCCGCCTCCCACTGCTGGCCCTTGCCTCGCAGAAAGTTGCAGCAAACCGCAAGCCAGCAGGGAAACTCGAGAAAAAGCCAGCTGGGAAGCCCGCAAGAAAATCGATGAACAGCCACCTGAAAAAATACACAGAGGACTGCTCTTCGAAAGCCACCTGGACTCTGCTTTCCGAAGTCTCGCTTTCACAAGCAAGGGTCTGCAGCACTGACGGTGGATGTTCATCGGGGACGTTCACTCGCATCCTTTTGGTTAACCCATTTTGGTTCGACGCCGGTAGGGATCTCAGCAAGAAAATTGAAGGATTGCCACTGAAAGAGGGCACCCCAAGGTTACACTACCCTGTTTAGGGGGGCCTTTCAGCAAGCCAATCAACACGGACCACCTCGCTGAACACATGTGTCGCATGTGTTGGCCCCCTGTTGTTGGCTTTAAAGGGAAACTGCAAGTAAATCACCAATTTTGATTCGTTCGAATCCTAATTTTGGGACAAAGCCACATCTGTAGTTGATTGCCGAGGGAAACCATAACTGAATCTCGTTGGCTTTAAAAGTACACCGGACTAAATCAACTCTTTCGGGCCTACCCCCCTGCAAATCAACATGGACTCCCAACACAAGCCCCAAGAAACAGACTTCTCCGGAGATGACCGCTCTTTGGGTTCCGTGTTTTGCAGGGAGTTCTTCGCCTTGCACCACCTAGTTGGTGTTGAGGGGCACATGTGTCAGAATCAAAACCTGCATGGTATCAAAATGGTCTACCCAGAGCCATGTCACCGCATGCATTTGTGGCTGGGATTGTCCCTTACTACCCTCCATTTATATACCCGGTTATTGATTGTGACTCACATGGTCAAAACCTTCAACAAGTAACAAGTCCCGATAGAAACGAGGGAGTGAATATGCACTAAGAAACTCATCGCCCAGGTTTGGATGGCTGAAATGGTTCGGCATTTTAGCGCAAAAAAAAGAAAGAAAGAAAGAAAGAAAGAACGGCTGTGCCAGTCAGGCGCCGCAAGCGCCGATGCAAGCATTGTAGCCCACCACGTCCCGCTCCACTTCCATGGCAGACATCCCCAGAAACAGCTGCAACACCGCCTCACAGGGCACAAAGACCTTACCGAAAAATCCCACAGTTCTAGCCGCACCGTCCATTTCCATTCTCGGGGATCCAACTCTTCAAACATGGGCCAAAACCCATGGGAAAAGGGGTGGTGTCTAAAGACAACGATGGGTGAAGAGAATGGGGAATCATAGTAGGAAACTACTATGATGAGGATTAAGGATTCTGGATTGAGTCTGAACGACCAAGGCTTCGAGACTGTTGACCGCAGCGTTTGCCCAGCCGAGAAGCACATTGGCTGATTGTCAACCATATTTTGTGAACCTTCCCACGTGCAGGGGCATGCACTGCCAGCCCTTGGAACAGAACCCAGAGAGGCCAAAAATGACATGGGTTGATCTGGAAATAACCCCAAATGGGAGTAACGTACAGTATCTGCCCAATCATGCCCAATCTTTCGTTTGTCTCCAGCTGCCACTGCATTTCAACCGTTAAACCGTGCAAAGAAAAGAAGGGTTGCTTTCAACCCCCCTGTTGAAACACATTTAACCAGCTGTTGTTTAAGCCGCCTCTTTTGTTTTCCCGTCTTATTTGTAGCGAGGGCTTCGGTGTTTAAACACATGTTGCACAACCCTGCTTGAAAGTTCGGGTCTGGTTAAGTCGGAAATACTGTGCATGGTTGCGAAATCCTGCATGACTCCCCTGCAAATACCAACAAATGATGGTTTCCCATGGTTTCAGGTGCAGTAGGGCTCTTGAGCCCTCTGAAAAGGTTTTCGGTTCTCCTGCCTCCCACTGCTGGGACGCCTGACACGCAGAGAGGGCCGCGTTGCAGGTGGAGGTGCCTGGGTATCGAGGTCGAGCTTCAAACAACCGCATCCTCCAGATCCCTACTTGAACCCTCATTTGCTGAGATTGGCCAACAAAAATGCTTGCTTTGGCACTACACTCTTCCCAGCAAGTGCCTAAAATCGAAAACTCCGCCCTCAACCAGTTTCTTAACCCCTTTGCCCAATGGAACCAAGAGACCTATTGGGAAAAGGCATACCGTTTGCGCAAGCTTCACGCACCGCTCGGGCCCAAAGTCCCAAGTCGGAGACTTCAACCTTGCCAGCGTACCCCAAATCAATGAAGCTAACTACCCGTAAGCTGTGCAAATGAAATGCCTACCATGCCCCAAAAACGAACCATGGCCTCCCAATCATTTCTTATTCAGATCGCCTCTCGCAAAGGAGGGACGCGCCAGCCTTATGACTCGCCCAGTAGGTGCTGTCAAGGACGGGGCATAGCCCTTTTGTGGCTCCGCTACGGCTCTGAATGCACTCGAAACCGGGCGCCAATGGCTGGGGAACGCCTTGCTCCGCACAGAAAAGTCCATTGGCCCAGGGCATACTAAGCGGATTCCTGTGTCTAAGACCTGGAACCCATCTTAGACTGGACTTTTCCAGTTTTGGTCTTCCTTCATGGCCCGATACATGAGATGGCTATGGCCCGAGTGGTGCGAGTCACCATGTCATAGGCCCTGGTCACTCACTAGCCTGCGATGGCTGCCCTGTGACTCTGAATCTATAATGGTAAGTGCCCTGGCCCTGCCCTGGTCAAAGAAATCCAGTTCTCTGGGCCATGTTAGACACTGGACATCCAGAATGTGGCGTTTTAGCCACCATTGATATGTATCCTGAACCCACACCGACTTACACCCGATAGCAACAGAAGCACTGCAGGCCCCAAACTACTTGCGAGAAACTGACAGGAATTTGCATATATGCATATAGATCTGTATGTACATGTGTTTCTAACTTACGTGTGGTACTCACAGAGCAGCCAAAACAAAAACAAAAAATAAATACACAAACAGTCACATGAATGAATGAATGAATGAATGAATGAATGAATGAATGAATGAATGAATGAACGAACGAACGAACGAATGAATGAATGAATGAATGAATGACTGAATCACTGAATGACTGAATGAATGAATGAATGAATGAATGAATGAATGAATGAATGAATGAATGAATGAATGAGTGAGTGAGTGAGTGAGTGAGTGAGTGAACGAACGAACGAACGAACGAATGAATCACTGAATGAATGAATGAATGAATGAATGAATGAATGAATGAATGAATGAATGAATGAATGAATGCATGCATGAATGAGTGAATGAATAAATGAATAAATGAATAAATGAATGAATGAATGAATGCATGCATGAATGAGTGAATGAATAAATGAATAAATGAATGGAATGATGGATGGATGGATGGAAGGATGGATGGATGCATGGATGGATGGATGCATGGATTAATGGATGAATTGATGAATTGATGAATGGATGAATGGATGCATGAATGAGTGGCAACAACACATAGAATCTTGAGAATAACAAATAGGTGTACACACACATCGACGAATAAAAGAAATAGATGCACAAGCAAATAAACACATGCAAAAAAACAGCATCAATATGCATGCATACATGCATGCATGCATGTAAGTAAGCATGTGAGCATGCAAGTATTTAAGTACGTATTAAGAATGCAAGCATGTCAAGTAAGTATGTAAGAATGCAAGTATGCAAGTATGTAAGCATGTAAGCATGTAAGCCTGTAAGCCTGCAAGCATGTAAGTATGTAGGTAAGCATCTAAGTATGTAAGTATGTAAGTATGCAAGCATGCAAGCATGTATGTACGCATGCATGTATGCATGTATGTATGCATGTATGTATGCGGGTGTTTGTGTGTGTGTGTGTTTGGTAAGTGTGAAAGTGCGTAAGAGTGCATTTGCATTTGCATTTGTATTTCTATGTCTGTTTCTTCCGCATGTCCATTCAACAAAGGCCCCCCTTTCTTCGCGCCAGCTTGTACCGGGGCCTGGTCGGATGTGGTGTCGCCGCATGTCCTCCATCATCTCTAGGGCCTCTTGCCAGCGCTGAATCCTAGGGTCAGGTCCCTGATGCTGTGGATGGACTAAATGTTGTACCAGTTGGAACGGATAAACCATGAACCCTAGGAATAATCGGATACAGCCACCTACCTAGTGCAGGATTTGTTTTCATCTACACAGTATTGATTGATCCGTTGCTAGACATCACTTACGTGCGGGTTGAACTTTGCTAACCAGCCATTTCTGACGATGTCCCCAAGCTACTGAAAATAAATAGGACCAGAACCGCATGGAACCAACATCGACATTCAATACGCAAGCACAGCCAGTGGTTGGCATTCCAACTTCGAGACAAACAACAGGGGAACAATTGGACCCACGCAACGGTCTTGGTTTTGGCTTCATACCGTTGGACAAGTTCGACTTCGCACCAGTAGGTGCTTTATCATGTTTTATCCCATTTGGTTTTCATCCATGTGCCTTCTTTTTAAAGAATAGATGGCCCTGGCAAATGGAATTAGACCAATCCACCCATGAATCTCTCAAACTAATCTAAAAAAGGGCACCTGCTCCATCCATCAACAGGATCCGTCCATTTCCATCATCGGAGTCCTTCCGAGGGCCATGATCCCGGCGGCGAAAGTGATGGCGTCGGGCCGCGGGCCCTCGCGCCGCATCCGGGACAGCCAGCTCAGCGCCGAGTGCCACTCCTTCGGAGCCCCAGATTTTCCAGGCTGCGGCGAATTCAAAAAACCGGAAAATTCCAAAATGGGTTACCCGATCGGTAAGTGGAAACTGGAAACCCAAAACCTGCGGTTTGCCCCTCAGATCGTTTAATTTTGAGCCACGCAGATGAATCCATGGCAAGTTCTCTCTCTCTCTCTCTCTCCCCCTGCCGTTGCATCCCAAAGGTCCCACTTCGTGAGGGGTCGACTTTTTTTGAAGGCCTTCCCTGAAAAAATGCAAGTGCGCGATTGCGCTCTTGGAAGGAAACCCTGCTTTCCAACCTTTGGAAGGGAAAACAAGACCGCCTTGCAAGGAGCACACGTGTCGATCCGGTAAAGTTTTGTACTGGCCTTTGGTCAAGCTGGTGCCTGGACATCCCCCCCCCACTGGCCAAGACGCTCCGCACTTCTGGAGCACTGACACCGCCGCGTTGTAGCTCCTAAGGGCCTTTTTAGGTCGTTTGGAGAGGCAATGTTCTGCGATCTTGGGGTACATCCTGCTTTACTTGCATGGGAAGTTTGAGGGCGAGTTCCCCTGAGTTCTTCGGGCCGAAGCCCACAATGAAAAGCCCAAACACATTGGCGCCTCCAAACCGCCCAGACCTAGAAAGGCCCATCCCGATACGAAGCCTGCCGGCTTCGAGCAGGATCGAAACTCTCCAAATGGGTGTGCCTTTTGTGCAGACCCCCAGCACCCTACAAACAAGACCCCCCCGTTTTGGGGCAGTGGATTTTAAAGGGAAGCCCCCTCCAAAGAAAAAAAGGAGAACAACAAGCACCATTGAATGCCTTTGGTTTGGGGGGTGCCCCTTTGTTGCCTTACGGGCCGTGTTTGCCGAGGCACAAACTCTACTCTTTGTCGACTGATCGTGGACATGGACAGGGAGGTTGTCCTACAGAGAAGTAGTCCTCCCACCCTTCCATGACCTCCATTTGCTTAAGTCCCCTGGCAAAAGCAAAAGCATATGTCCAGTCATTAGTAGTGATAGGTTCCCTTTCAACCCCGAAAAGGGACATACAACATATTCTTAGCAAATGGAAGACTCCAACTCAACCCCACCCCAACTCCAATTCACCAACAATCTCCACACCCCAACTCAACCCCCACCCCGCTTCCACCCCAACCCCCACCCCAAGGCACCCAAGGCCCAGTTGCGCCGGCATGCCGAGGCGCACCAGGTCCGGCTCCTGCTGGGCCCGCTGCGTGTCCACCAAGGCCAACAGCACGCGCTCCCATTGGAGGCCCTTGAAGTAGACCTGGGCGCCATTCGTGCTCGATGGACGCGACTGACCCATTCGCCCAAATGGAGGTGAAGTGCCCTGGTCCATGCCAGGGACGCAAATCCATGATAGCTGGTACGTAAGAATTGGATACCGATGATACGAACATGGCTTTTGTGGGAGCGCATCTGGAAGATCAGTTGCCTCGCCAATTGCACAAGGTGGAATCTGATGAAGCTTGCCCCCCTTGGCTTCCGAAAAGCAAGCCCAAATCGGCAAACGCATGGGGTATGGGAGAATGTGGTTGCTAAAATCAACCAATCCAAAAGTACCACTCCAGACTCCAGAACGGAGCGTGCACGAAGATGCCATGCGTTCTACAAGGAAACCTACAAAGCACAGCTCGCCACACCCAACTCAACACGCCTCACTTCCTGAGTGTATCTGCCAGACAAGGTTCAAACCTTCATGTGTCACTCAAGATGGTCCTGCCCAAAGCGTTCCAAGCGCAGAAATTGGAAAGTGAGCTTGACACAAGGACGCTGCGAACCGACAAATCGACGAATTCGAGCTCAAGGCACGCTGATCTCAAGACCCCGCGCGTAGGCGTCCACTTCCATGCCAACGCAGCCTGAAAAACACGGCTTTTGACGAATGCCTGGTTGATGGTTTCTTTTGAAACGAGCTGCAGCGAATTCTACAAGGCAAAAATACGTTTATTTGGCCTTAATGGTAGCTAACTTCCTGTAGGAAACAGAACTCCTGTAGCTGGTTCATGTGGGTTTCTTTGGGGCTGGTTCACGGTTGGTTTGCGGTAAGCTTGGGGTTGATTTGGGGAGGAAGGTAGAGTGGATTTTGGGTTGGGCTCAGACTGGGATTTTCAGGATCACGGTATCCTCACAAAGACATTTGACTTAGTCAGGGACTTCAACTTTCCCAAAGGGCGATGTGGTCAAAAGGTATGCCGAGAAACCCGGCATACAGAAAAGGCAAACAGAGGAGGGCGGTTCAACAGCGGCCACCGCCACTTACCGCTTACCCGTGGTGTCCCCAAATATACATATATATATATATGTATATATATATATATAATATACATCCGGAGACACAGCGATGGCTGCTCTGGCTCCAAGCCGCTTCGGAGAATTCGAGGGATGCTCAAGCTCCAGTTGTCCAACAGCTTTCTGCTCAACTTTCCTTACTAAGGGCCCCCCAGAGCAGGACACGAAGTCAATGATGATGTTCAAAACGGGTCTTCCACCCAGGGAAACCAGACATGGTCCCAGAATGGTCCCATCTTTGAGGTCAAAACTAGACCACGGTTGGCCCGAAAGCAGAACATCGCAAGCGAGGTCGGCCCAACGCTGCAGGATGCGTTCTTTTTCCCTACACGAAGCATTCGTGAAGCAAGCGCGAGACAGCACCAGGCAAGGTGCTCTGTGCAAGTTGCTCTGTGCAAGTTGCTCTGCGTAAGTTGCTCTGCGCAAGTTGCTCTGCGCAAGTTGCTCTAGGCAAGGCGCTCTGCGCAAACTGGTCGGGGCAAGTTGGTCTGCGCAAGTTGCTCTGTGCAACTTGCTGTGCGCAAGTTGCTCTGCGCAAGTTGCTTTAAAATGCAAGTTGCATCTTGCAACGCCCGCCCGCGGACCAGGGAGGAATCGAACCCACGACCCGCCGGTTCCGGGAGCAGGCGCGCGAACCACGAGACAACTCCCGAGGACCAGTTCGATGCACCTCGCCCACGCCGATTCCCGCAGAGGGTTGCGCGAGCACCGCAGAAATCGCAAAAAACCTCGAGTTTTTGCACCTCGACCACGCCGATCCCCGCAGAGGGTTGCGCGGGCACCGCAGAAATCGCAAAAAACCATGGGTTTTTGCACCTCGACCACGCCGATCCCCGCAGAGGGCCGCGCGGGCATGTTGGAAATCGCAAAAAACCATGGGTTTTTGCACCTCGACCACGCCGATCCCCGCAGAGGGTCGCGCGGGCATGTCGGAAATCGGAAAAAACCATGGGTTTTTGCACCTCGACCACGCCGATCCCCGCAGAGGGTCGCGCGGGAACTTTAGAAATCGCAAAAAACCATGGGTTTTTGCACCTCGACCACGCCGATCCCCGCAGAGGGTCGCGCGAGCACCGCAGAAATCGCAAAAAACCATGGGTTTTTGCACCTCGACCACGCCGATCCCCGCAGAGGGTCGATTTTCGTGTAGTGTCGTCGGCACTACCCCGCCGCCCTAAGAAGAGATTTTAACTCCTTGCAAGTCAATTGCACTTGACTCCTTGCACTTGCAACTTGCACTCGACTCCTTGCACTTGCAACTTGCACTTGACTCCATGCACTTGCAACTTGCACCTGACTCCTTGCACTTGCAACTTGCACTTGACTCCTTGCACTTGCAACTTGAACTTGCAATGACTCCTTGACTTGACTCCTTGCATGAATGACTCCTTGCAATGACTCCTTGCCTCCTTGCAATGACTCCTTGCAATGACTCCTTGCAATGACTCCTTGCAATGACTCCTTGCAATGACTCCTTGCAATGACTCCTTGCTTGCAATGACTCCTTGCAATGACTCCTTGCAATGACTCCTTGCAATGACTCCTTGCAATGACTCCTTGCAATGACTCCTTGCAATGACTCCTTGCAATGACTCCTTGCAATGACTCCTTGCAATGACTCCTTGCAATGACTCCTTGCAATGACTCCTTGCAATGACTTTCATGATGATGATTCCTTGCAATGACTCCTTGCAATGACTCCTTGCAATGACTTTCATGATGCTGATTCCTTGCAATGACACCTTGTAATGACTCTCATGAGAACAACTCAAGTGAACCCAGCGGAAGAACCCTTCGCCATGCTTTCGGGAAAAAGAGAGTCAAGGACCTACCTCGCTTTCGCTCGTTAAAACAGACAGACTCCACCCGTACCCTCAGTGAACATCCCAATCCCCACTAAAAAACGGAATTGACAACCACAGCCATGTGTCGCAAGACTCAGCTCCCCGCGCATGTCTTTCACCAACTCCAGGACTTGCTGCCACTGCTCCTTCAGTCGCGCGCGCGGATCTGCGTGAGAACGCATGGCGTTCCGCGCTTTCTGGGGACGGATCCGACCGAAAGCTCTAATGGTGAGGAGAAATGAAGAAACCCAACAGTTGCGAAAACCTAACATCCCCAAAGAATGCCCCGAAAAGTGCCACAAATAATTGTTTGACTCACTTCCTAAGTGGGTTGGCCAAAAAAAAGGCCCCAGATTTCTTTTGCCACCACAAAGGCCTTCAGAAAAAAAGGAACTTATTTGTGTTGCCTACTCTCTTGGCCATATTAATTTGGCCATGTATGGCCCTATGCACTTCGATGCTTTGGCCTGAAAGAGGTGCTTTCTCATTTTGTGCTGACCTGGTAACCCCTTTCAGTTTTCCTGGGTATTGACATGTATCCCGTGTTGATATCAAAGTGGGCTGCTTTCCCACGTTTTAGCTATTCCCATGATTAGTTTGGCACATAAACCATGGGCTCATGCATCTGAGTGAAGTACAGCAACTCACCAGGCCACAATAAACCAACGCCTTTGCGAGTGAGGGCCATAATTTGCGTAGATGTATCTCCCCTTCACTCAGACTTTGAATGTACATGACCAAGCAGCTCAGAGTGGTTCCCGTAAACAAATCCTTTCTGTGATGCCGAAATGGCATTCCCAGCGATGACTACATTGTCATAGATTGACGCTTTGAATGGGGTTCCCACAGGGCCACTCACAAACAGCGCCTAAATCCACCAACTCAAACCGCGTTTCGGCATTTGTTGGGTTCCTTTTGCCAAGACCTCCAGCGGCCATAGGCCGCAAATCGCCAGCTTGTTGTTTGATGTCCAAGAAAACCCTCTCCAAAGAAGGGACGCATCCTGAGTTTCAAACCTGGAAGGGGGTCTACTGTAAAACAGGCACTGGACATGGTTCTGGGACATCACCCTGGTGATTCCCATGGGCCATTCCCATGACTGCTACCTTTTTTCCCCCTCAGCATCACAGAAAGCAACCCCCCTAAGTTGTCCATGCACAAAAACCGACAAGTGCAAAAAGCATGGGGCCCCTGTTTTCTTTGAGGCTACAGGTTGAAACCTTTGGGGAAACCCATGGTTATTCTAAGGGGAACCCAACTCGAACGCCACGGCGCTGCGGCTTCGCAGGCCCCGATGGCCGCCGTGTAGCTGAAGGCGTCTGTCTCGGGCCTCGGTTTTTTTTTGGACCGGCGAAGGAGGGACCTGGGTTGGCCAAAAAGAGGGGTACCCTCCCTCCCACTAACATTCCAGGTGCTTCACTTCATCTTGTTTGGATTGGATGCGCATGGAAGATTGCAGCAGGAGGCAGTAGATGTTTCTGGGTCTTTTCCACCTTGTTACCCGATCTCCCACTAACATGGCAACTGAGAGGGGCCCGGTCCCTTCAAAAGGAAATTAATCTTCCAGGTACCTCCCCACAGGTGCCATGTTAGTTGGAGGAAGGGTACCCATTGCAGGGTATATCGCCAATTATCTCCAAACAAATGGGTACCCTTACTCACCTCCATTGGCAGACATGCCAAGAGGAAACAACTAATTTGTCCAGTGATAGATTCCCTTCAAAACCGAAAAATAAATCAACACTCTTAAGCAAATGGAAGTTAGAAAGGGGCCAAACAGGGTTTATGTGGAGCCCGCGGAGAGAAAAACAAAACAAGGTCCAAAAAGGGGTCCATATTCTTGACAACCGCCCACTTGCCTGAGACGTCTTTTGTGTTGACAGAAGCCGTCGGAGCACACAAACGGGCACAACAGGAAAACAACTAGTTTGAACGATCCTCTAGTTTGACACATACCCAAATGATCGCTTCCCTCCGGACAGCGAAATTGGAGTGAACAGAGTAAAGAATAACTGTTGCTTGGCTTGGTGAACTTGGTTAAAGTTTGATCCGCCTGTGGCCAAACCCGCGACCTGATGAGGTGCCATGTTGCTGGAACATGGCCGTGTCCTAAAGGGGGGACCCCCGATGTTTGTGAACGGTGCCAAATATGAAGCGCCCTTTTGCTCGGTAAGCCAACCCAGGCAAGACGGCACCTGAGGCACGCACCATTTTGAGAAACGCAATCTGGGGAAAGGGGCCCCAGAGGATGAGAAAATGAGCGGAGACCGGCCGTGCTACACAAACAACCCAGCAAATAAACAATTCGGTGGTGTTCCAACACAGTCTAAACAACTCGTGACAAAATTCATATCAATCTACCAGCATGAACCAGCGTTCTAGGCATTGGTCACATGTGCTTCAAACATGTTTCTGTTAAAGGGGCAGCCGCTTCCGCAGATTTCGGTTGGCGTCCTTCTGGACAGGAGAGGATGCCTGGAGAGAATGGGGAACCTGTGGCACTAAAAATTGGTTCCAAACTTGCTTCCTTTCGGATACTACACACATGGCTGTCCTCTGGTTCTCGCTGGGACCCGTTTATTCGAACACGTTGATCTGGTCCCCTGGTTGGTCTCATGGGAGCTGCGCGCTGGCTGAATTGCTATATAAGGCCAGGGGCAAACGACATGCCCCAGCTATTCATGGCTTTTGCGGAAGCCAGCCAGCCAGCAAAAAGCCTCAAAGTGGAAGCCCTGGCAATGCATGGCTGCCGCTTCAGCGGCAAGTTGGCTAGCAGCAGCAGCGCTAGTTGCCAGCTGCTCGCTGCACGGATGGCGGCATTGAGGCCTACAACTCTAAACCCAGCGCGATGCTTGTGGCGGACGCCTGCCTCCTTACTGTGGATGCACGAAATCCACTTCGCACCACTTTGAAACCATGGTTGAAACCGGAGTTCGTTGGCATTTGCAGGCGAATCATCATTCCAGGGTTTCTTGGCTGGTGCAGGATTTTGTCCATCCACAGTAGGGTTGCTTACAAAGAGGTGTCCCAGGTGCATGCGCACCATCCCCAGCTCCTTTGAGCGAATTTAAGTAGCCTGAGCTTCTTGGCCCCATTCCCAGCACCTGCTAGTTCAAAACGTTGATGTCTTCTTTGCTAGGAGAACCCCCCCAAAATGGTGGCTCTCCCTTTGGTTTCCCTTTAAAACCCCACAAAACAAAACAAAATGAAAAAAAAAGTGGCGTTCCCTTCAGTTTTCCTTTAAACCCCTCCCCCTCCGCCCCCAAAAGGAACACAAAACACAACAGAACAATCAGAACAGGTCACCCTGAACCTGCGCATATTTGTGGGTGAAGCAAAAAAAAACAAAAAAAAACAGACCAGGCCACCCTGAGCGCGCGCATATGTGCGGTTAACGCCAACAAGCACAAGGTTTCACACGCACTCTTCTCTTCCATTTGCTCAAGCCCCCTGGACAAAAAAGAAAATATGTCCAGTAGTGATAGGTTCCCTTTAAAACCAACAGGGGAAAATAAAAAATATTCTTCACCAAATGGAAGTTCTCACTTGGTGTCGACTTTTTGGCCCAGGCCACTGGCCGCGTCCCGCTGCACCGCCATGCCGGGCATCTCCGCCAGCACTTGAAGCGCCCAGGGCCTTTCTGCAGAAATTTCCCCGACGGGCTTGGGGTGTCTCGTCTTTTGGGAGCCCCGCCTGTGTGGCGGTTTAGGGGTTGCCTTTGTGGCTAGTGAAACTGAATTGAAAGCCGCCGTTTCGGGGTCCTCACAAACGGATTTAGGAGTGTCTTTTTTTTAAGGGTACCCTTTTTCCGCAGTTGTTAAAGGGACACCACAACGAACACCACGGTTTGCGGGTCCCTAACCCCCCCAAAAAAAAGGACTTCCCTATGTGTTGCTTGCTTCCTTCGCCAGAGCTGTAGGTGATCCCATTAAAATGGTCTCGGAGCTCACTGAGTGGTGATCTGCTCAGCTATTCAGTTACCTCACAACAATGGTGTCCAATCGCAAATGGACTTTGAAGGGAGGGTTGCATGTACAGTCAGAATGTGTGATTGGTCAATTTTGTCAACCCCCCTTCCAGAAAAACAACAGCTGCAGGAGAGTAACACTGAAAGGTCTGGGCTGGCAATGCGGGTGCTTGCATGTCCCCTAACATCACCCTGACGGAAACGCAATGAAGGCCAAAAGGTTTTCTGATTAAACCACTTGGCAAAGGAGCATAGCATAAATTTGAGGGTGCCCTTTCAGCTGTCAAATGTGAGGTCCCGTTTGTCTGGACAAAGCCAAAAAAGAACCTATGCCTTTGGAACATGACACCCGACCAATCCTCCATTGGGTTGTTCACAAAAATGGACTGATGGTCCAGGTTTATTTATGTGCTCCTTCCAACCAGCCATCGCCTAGAACCAAGCAGACCCTAAGTGAACTTGTCAAAGAAATCCTGAAGTGTTTTCCTTTATCTACCAAGAAAATCTTCATGGACTTCTTTCTAAATTATCATATTGTCTTTCCAAAAAGTTCAAAGTCCCTGAGGACCAAAACTGGACCCACCGCATTGCCCCGAGCCCGGCGCCACGAGTCAGCGCCGGCCGCCAGGCAGGCGATGCCGGAGCTGCAGCTGATGGCGTCACATCCCAGCGAGCCGCGCATCTGCTGCAGCCTGCAAGAAGAATGGCTCAATGGTTAAGGGCAGGGCTGTGGGGAATGACCACTTCTGTGATACAACAAAAAGGGCGTCCCAAAGACTATTTTCTTCATATACAGGGGGATTCCCTTGTATCACAGAAGTGGGGAGAAACCCCTTGATCCCACAACCCTGGTTAAGGGGCCCAACTGTTCAACTGGCTCGCAATCGCAAGTAGAAATTGTGTTGTTCAAGGGGACCGCTCCTCCAAAGTAGTGTTAACAGCCCCTCAGCATGGCCAAATGGCCTCATTACTTGCACTATCAAAGTCACCACCGAAGTGGCAGGTTCAAGGGGAAAAACACACCACCCTCCAAACACGCCTCCAAAAATGGTCAATTTTTGTCTTTCCCAAGAAGTGGGGTGGGGGTGTTCGGGGTGGGGGTGTTTGGGGGTCCCCTTCACGCAGGAATTGTACCAGGCCCATCTAAGATAGAAATGGAAAGCAAATGAAAAAACAAAGGTCAAAAGCAAACCGGAACATCAAAGTGAGCCGCTTTTCCAACCCCGAGCCATTTCTTTGCCACTTACCGTTTGGCTTGTGGCCCCTCCCAAACAGGTTGGGGGGTCGGAAAACACGGGCGACCCATGGGCAGGCGCGAAATGGACCTCGGAAAATCCGCAAATCGCGCCCCAGGCGCAAGCAGAGGGCGCCCTGCCAGTGGCCCCCAGCCCGACAGGCGCCCAATGCAGCGTTGAAGCTGCGGCGGTTGGGCCGCACCGAGGCTCCTTTGCTTGGCGCGTGGGTTCAAAGGAAGGCGGCAGAAGAAGAATCCCGGTTCAAAGGGAGGCCCTTTAAACAAAACAGGAGAAAAGGCGAAGAACCACTGCAAATCCGAGAATCAAACTATATAAACTGACGACTTGGTTTGGTGTGGACGTCGGGTACCCTCCAATTCACCCATCCACCCATTGAAAACCTGAAAGATCCAGAAGCTACGACTACGAAAGGGCAGCAAACAAGTGGGCGTCCAGCCAGGGGGCCCATGTTTGCCAGCAGGCCCAGCGCCAAGTCCCAACGCGCCTCTAGCAAAGTGCCGACTTCGCTCGCTCGACCGGACGGGCTGACGGGCAAGAAACGGAGAGAACCAACCCCCTGGCCACGAATCCTCACTTCCTGAGTGAAGTCGTCAGAAAAAGTCCGGACATTTTGTCTACCGCTAAAATGGTCTTCAACAGCTTAAGTCCACAAACCAGGAAGTGAGAACTGGAACTTCTCTCTACCAGGGTCAGTTTCCATTGAAAATTGACCCACCAATTGATCAATCCACGGATCGGCCTAGTGGTGTCCCACTACAGATTTCGGAACCTTGTCCTGGACCCACTGCACCCCACAAAAGATTTGTCAAACAAGCACCCCAAGAACAACCCTGCAAAATTGGAAAAAAAACACAAGCAAACCCACCCCCGAAAGGACCTAGTACCCTCGCATCCACGAACATGGAACCTGACAAAGCGGGTCCTCAATTTGGCCAGTGCACGCCACCGCTGTTTGCAGGTCAGCAAAAGATGGGCACTTTGGTTGGCTCCCACTTGCAACCAGGACGGTACAGGTTAGTGCTAGAAACCACCGGCCCATGGGGGTTCAAACTTGCAGCGTTCCATTTGTCACGCTTTCCTCAGCAGGCCTACGGGCTTCCGGCTTCCCCCTCCTGCTTCACCCACACATGCACCACCTACAAGGGATTCCTTTCTTCCGATGCCCTCATGAACAGGGTAGGGTATCAAAAAAGTTTAACCATCCACGAAAAACTTGCTTAGCAATCAAAAACAAACTTTCACTCATGGGCCAGATGAAAAAAAATCGTCTGGCGGAGGACGATACGAAAGGGCCACGAGAGGGGACAAGAACACCAGCACGTAAAGCTAAGGGAGCGAAGGTAGGGCAATGATTCAGCAAAGAACTTATTGGAAGGGCCAAAGGACTAGGGGACCGAAGGCGGACCCAAACGACCAAGGACCAAAGGACTAACGGAACAAAGGACCAACGAACCAAAGGACCAAGGGCCAAAGGACCAAAAGGACCAAAAGGCCCGGGGGACCAACAAACCACAAGCCAACAAGCAATGCACAGGGATCGTGGAAAGCATTTGCTTGATTGCTATTTGTTTGATACCGATTTGTTCTTTATTGCTAGAAAAGTGTTTCTTGTTGATGGTCATCCCAATGAACAACTGAGAAACCAGGTGTTCACGAAGGGGATGGTCCGTCACATTGGAAACCCTTCAGCAATTGCTTCTTAACTATTTCAAGGGGTCTGGTGGCAACACCTTGGAACTAGCGGTGGGCCGTGCGTCCGAACCAAGCCCGAATCAACTGGTTGGCGTCCTGGAATGGCTGTCAAAAACCACCCAACTGGCGCTCGAAACCATGGACACTGCGAGGGAGAACGCATACATAGGGAGAATGCGTACATGTTCCAAAAACATGAAGAACAAATAAACATCAGAGGGCAAAAATCATTTGACCTGATCCCACCAGTTGACGGCACCCAAGAACCGCGTGATCGCTCCGGCCTCAGCAAGGGCAGCTATGGCCGTGTTGAAGGAGATGACGTCGGGGCTCAGCTTCCAGCGATCCATGCAGAGCAAATGCAGGGCTGCCGGCCAGGCGTCGCCGGAGCAGGTACTGATGACCTCACCATGTCACACCACGAGAAAAAGCACCACCACATCACGCAAAAGCTGACTGCCTTGGCAGTGAATACAATCATGAGACCCCACGCACCTTCAAATGGCAGGGCCTCTCTGACAGAAAGTAAGAAGAAGCCACGGGCAACGCGGCAGTGGAGGCTTTGCCGAGGACCCCAAGGTAAGACCATGACATTGAAACTTGGCCACGCCACGCAAAAGCCATGCGCTTTTGCAGTAAAACCGATCCTCAGCCGACCGCAGTCACTCGAAACATCAAGGGAACAACATGTACAAAGTGGCAGAATGAAGTCTCCCAGAAAACTATAACATAAGCCCTTGACCCAGTCGGTGTAACGCTACGCATTGTATGAAAAGTTGGGACCTGGTTGGCGTGCAGGTCCCGATGGCTTAGCATAGCTGGGCTGCAGAACTGCTTGTTTGTTCCTGAAACGGTCTCCACAAAAAAAAAGTATGACGTCCAGCAACTGGCCAATGAATTGGTAGTTTGGACTGGTAGATTGGGAAGTTGAACCCGCGTGAGGAAGCCGATTCCTTGCACTAATGCCTTCGCTAAGCAGCAATTCAACAACTGTGTGTTTCGAAAACTCAGTACAGCGATCAATGTGACTTGACCCGGGAAAGCCAAGCTCTGCTTTGTGTTGTTCTTGTCTGCATGTAAACATTTATTTGCTTCTTTCGTCCTTCATACCTTGATATCATGAATTTGTGTAGTGCCTTTGCCTTGCTTATGTCCATTCTTCCTTGCTTTTCTCCCAGCTTTTCCTACCTGCCTTCCTTCCTTCCTTTCGTTCTACAGCTCTTTAGTTCCTTCTTTCATTGTTTCTTTGTTTCTTTCCTTGCTTGCGTCATTGCTATTTATTGTTTTCTTGCTTCTTTCTTGATATACTTGTTGATTGAATTCATTCCTTTCTTTCATTCCTTTCTTTCTTTTGTTCTTTCTTTCTTTCTTCTTTCTTTCTTTCTTTCTTTCTTTCTGTCTCTCTCTCTCTCTCTCTCTTCCTTCCTTCCTTCCTTCCTTCCTTCCTTCCTTCCTTCCTTCCTTTCCTTCCTTCCTTCCTTCCTTCCTTCCTTCCTTGCTTCCTTCCTTCCTTCCTTCCTTCCTTTCTTTCTTTCTTTCTTTCTTTCTTTCTTTCTTTCTTTCTTTCTTTCTTGTGTCTCTCTCTCTCTCTCTTTCTGCCTGCTTGCTTACTTGCCTCTTCTTGCTATCTTCCTTTTGCTTTTGGGGCTGCAATCACCCCTTCCTCTAAGAAACCAACAGGAAATTCTACTGGACACCCCTGATTTGGGAATTTGGCCCGTTTCCTGTAGAATTTCTACTTCCGCTCCTCCGGCGCGCTTCCCCCGCATTCGCTCCGCTCGGCTCAGCTCGGCGCCGCGTTGAGGCTCACCACGTTGGGCGCCAGCTGCGCCGAGGGCATCGCCGCCAGCAGCGCCACGGCCCAGACCCAGGCGCCTCGGCCGCCTGGGCACACGGCGGAGCAAACGGCCCGCGTCGCCCGCGTTGGTCGGTTTGAGCCGAATCGGTGGTGTGGTGGTTACGTGAAGGGGCTCAGCAGGCCATCGGCTTCCCACTCATTGGTGGTTTGGCGCTTAGCGGTGGTTTCTCATTTACCTTCTACATGAAGAGGGGTAAATCCAGACCAACTAGAGGTAACCTGACCGAAATTCCCGGTAGAAAGTGAAGAAGCAAAGGGCAATGCCAAGAACAGCAACAGACTGATTCAGAGCCAACTCGCCAAAGGGAGCCATTTGAGCCACGATCAACGTGTGAAAGCCAAGAAAAATACTCGTACTAAAGCGGGTCTACTGTCTACCCAAAACCATGTGAAGAATCAAGAGCGCAGCCACACCGGATAAGACTCTGCGTTCCTTACGCTCGCCTCTTCTGCGTACACTGCGCAGTGAAAAATGAACAACCCAGGGACCACAGGAGGTTACCTGTGTAGAATGGATGGATATAACTAGCCAGCAAGCAAAAGTTGAACAGGAAACCAACTCATACAAAAAAGGTGGTTCTGGATTCACCACGTGCTCTAAGCTCCAAATCCCCGGGTTTTCATTGCGGCCCACTTGGCCGTTGATTTCACCCAGACTTCTCCCGGCCGAATTCTGCCCCCCGGACGCCTTTGCAGGCGCTCTGCGCCGCGCTGAAGCTGATGACGTCCGCCTCAGGTGCGTCCAGTCCAAAAGATCGGTTCCCAAATGGCCATGAAAGGTGATTAACCTTCGGGGCCTGAAAAAATGCCAATTAAAAAAAAACAACTGAAAGCTCAGAAGGTCGATTCGCTTTGGCGAGGTTTGCCGAGAATCAAGTAGGTGTTTCTATTTTGCCTGGACGTCACCTCTCTCGCCTCAATATATGTGTGTGTTGTTTAAAGCGCAGTGCCGGTTGAATGGGCACCAAAAAAAAAACTAGCATGTCTTGGATTCCCTAAGTTTCAAAGAACTAGCAACATATATATATATATATATATCAGCCACGGTCAAAAGTGCTTATTTCCCTCACAAAGCACGGGAAACTAAGTCAGCCCCCTAGCGTTTCTGAGGAATTCAGTCATTCCCCACATGCCTGTGAACCACAGACCAGTCATTTTGACCGAAGCTCATGCCTGCTTTGGACCCCCAGAACCCGTTTTAAGCGCCCGGCGAGGGTCTTGCGCCTCGCCAAGCCCAGGAGATCCAGGGCCTTGCCAAGGTCAACACTGGGTGTGGGGCACCCAAAACAAATACTTGCTGTGGGTCAAAAATAAATCCAATTTTGGGTACAAACTTTGGGTCAACATAAATTTGGCACAGATTTTGACTACAAACAAAGCAAATTGGGTCACAAATCGCGTAACCCCAAGATGGATTTAACCTGCGGTCCAATTCCTGGTGGTTTAATTTTGACCCATACCCGTGTGCTAATTCTGGTCCGGATTCAAAACAAATAGTTGTGAGACCCCGGAAAAACCAAAAGACAAGAAATCCCGGGCCAAATCACCGGTCTTGATGTGACATTCATGTGCTTCGAAGGTGTGTGCTTTTCCATTCGGACATAAAAAGTGGGAATGCTCCGCTAGGGGTCTGCCTTTTGCCGGGGTGGGGGGGGGAGGGGGAGGCAGACCAAGGTCTGCTAGGAAAGAGAAATAGAGGGCTTGGACAAACTGCAAAAACCGCTTTTTGCACCCGTTTCCATTCTGCAGATCAACATAGGGCCCGAAAGGGCAGTTTACAGGAGCCTCTTTTGGGGACCCTTTCGTGGGCCCCATGTTAAATTGAACAACTGGGTTGATGACGGTTGATGCAGCTGTTCAATGCAAATTGCAGCTGGCCCCTGAACACAAACAACTTCTCCAAGTCGCTTCATCGGATTCCACCGATGATCCCCCTTTTACTTACTTCCCCCAATTCAGAGAACCCTCAAACGGGCGCTTGGGCTAGATTTCAGCCCCTAGCTCTTGTGGGTAAATGGGAAACCCCAACCTTCAAACTGCCAAGCCAAACCACCAATCAAAGGGAAGCTGAAATAAGAGCCAAAACCCTGAAAAACCGAACCTTTAACCACCCTAGAGGGAAGCATGGAGCACCATGCTGGGTCCCATGGGTCCCATGTTAATTTGCAGGGGTACAGCCAATCAAGGCGGGAACTAGCGCCATGGAAAAAAAGCGCCGACGTCCGACTTCTCCCAGTCGCCCGCTGCCACTGGCCGCTCTTCTCCAGCGCGCTGATGGCAGTGTTGCAGCTCAAGGAGCTCAGCTGCAGCTGGCTGAGGCAGAGCAGCCTCAGCCACAAGGCCGCGCGCTGCGGAGCGCTGAGTCTCAGGGTTGGACGGGCGGCCCCTGAACGAAAAGGCGGCATGTGCTGTTCTCAACAAAATGCTTCGACCCAACTGGAATCATTGTTGTTCGTGGAAGGGGGTCTGACAACCACCCTATTTGGCCTTGAGCTCAAAGGTCATCGAGCTCCACCTCCCTTCCCCTTCCCCTACTCCCCCCCGCTCCTGCCCGAATAAATGAGTCTTGGGCCTTGTTGGGCTTGTTGGGGAACAAGAGTGCCGGAGGTGGGGGTGGGACAGGGGGGTGGGATTCTACCTGCCTCGACCAAAAATAACATGCTCGATTCTTACAACATTTTTTGGCGAACCTCAAAATCCAAAGTCATTTCGAAGATGCCAGCTATGAACAGGTCCCAAAATTCAGGCTCCTGGGGTACCGGGTGCGCTAAACTCTCCCCGAGCTGCTGGAACAGGCTCAACGCCGCCTCCCACATTTCGCCTCTGCCGCAGGCGCCCATGGCCGCGTTCACGCAGAAGGCGTCCATGCCGCCGCCTTCGCAGCTTTGGGCCATGTCTGCCAGAAGCTGCAAAGACCATTGCCACCTCGGTGGGCCAACCCCTCGTTGAAACATGCTACACCTAACTTTAAGCCTGTTAGGGCGCTAGGGTCTCAATGTTCCCAACCCTTCCCCTCGGCAGAAGAGGTGATTCCTGGGGCCCAAGCTCAATTTTACCCCACGATCGGCGAGCCCTCTACTTTCAACCAACTGTACGGTTTTAACAAACGGGTTCCTGTCGGATGCTCCACTACTAGCCGTCTTTTGCAGGGGACCTGCAGGCGGTATTCGAAGCCAACCATCTCTCACTTGCCCTAAGTGACCCAGAAATAAAAGCTTAACCTTGGGGGGCAATGGCAAAATTGGACCGAATAGAAAGCCAAAAGGTCAAAGGTCCCATGGGATCCACGGCACTGGCCACACTTGTCGCACGCGCTGAGCGCTGCCCCATAGGCGATGGCGTTGGGCCGAAAGTGGCGGCCGAAAGCCGCATTGAGGACCTGCGTAGCAGAGGTCCCTTGTTTAAACAATCATTTACACCACGACTTGCCAACTGGAACCCTAGTAATCAATCCAGGGGCGTCCTGTTTTCAGTAGTAGCCGCCAGTGTTCGAGCAGCCTTGTGGTTTCCCTTGTGAGGGGCTAGGGGTTGCTTGTTTAATCAGATCTTGCCCAACCCTGTGTGGACCCGGTTCGCCTGGTGCATGAGGCCTGAACAAGAAAATTGTTACGACAAAACAGGCCCTGCGAGTGGGAATCATCCACTTCGCACCAGCTGGAATTTGTAACATATCCCTGCACTTTGGTCCATCCACAGGAGGGTCTGATTAGGGCCGTGTGAGAAACAGTGCCCAAGGTAAACACGCCAATAGAGGCCCCCGCCATCCCCACATGTATACGACTCTTGCATCTTTGGAGTGCTTGAAGGGCGTCGTCCCACCAAGGAACCAATCCTAAACCTAAACGCGACTTGCACCTCTCTACAGTCTAGGGCTGGGTTTAAGGAGTGCTCTTCGTCCCCCATCCAAAACCTACACCAACAGGCTGGGAACGTAGTCAGAGCCCAAATGCTCCTTCTCACTTGCTGCCAAAGATGAAGCTTTTGCCGGGTTGACTATTCTCTTAGATCAAGTCACCACCAAAGATAAGAAATCCTTGTTGAACAGGTTGAACAGGTGGCTTTGAACGAGTGAATCCAAGGGATTCGGACCCTCTTCTAACCCCAGACCCGTTTTTGACCTCCCAAGAGACACTTTCGGCAAACTACTATTGACAAATCTCAAGTAAAGGAATCCCCGAGGCAGGGGGCCTTCAACTGTTGCTTTGCAAGGATTCAGATATCGAAATCCGAGGACCAAAGTGACTTTTTGACGGGCCCTCGCTGGCATCCTTTAGCTTACTTGCCCAAAAAGACCTGGAAATAAAAGCTTAACCTCTTGGAGCCATGACTAAAACTAGACCAACCTTGGAAAACCGAAAGGTCAAGAAGGTGGACAAGTGACGTTAGGGGATCCCGGTTTTACCCTCCGAATCGCAGCTGCTTCGTTTGCTCTGGTTGGAAATCCGCCTGCAGAGCAGCTTCCCATTGCTGGCCCTTGGCGCAGGCGTTGATGGCGGAGGAGTAGATGATCCTGAGCCCGTGCACTCGCGGACGGGGGCGAACCATCCCGTGCCGCAAAACACGGATGGACGTGTCCAGAGGCGTGTGGGTCCCGTCCCGTTTCAAAGCCGCACGAAACAAAGTCTCATGGGGTCCCCTCAGGACTTCTTAAAAACCTGTTCTTGGCTTATCCGCCCCTCGTAGCCACCAGTTGAGGTCCATGATTAAATTAATGTTGACCCAGTATTGCTGCTTCCTGGTTGACTGATCCGGGGTCGACATTAGCTACTAAACTGCTGCTTACAGCGCATCCAAGGGGCATACTGTGGATGAACAAATTCCACTTACTCAACCAGCTGGGGCTCGTGGATCCCAACTGATGCAAGATGCTGATTCATCCACAGCAGATGCGCGGTAAGTTCAGGTTACCACTTAGATCCCATCAGTGTGACTTGTCCATCCCAACCCCATGCCCGTTTCCCTACAGGTTGCAGTTCTGCAACTCAGGAACTGCAAAAAAACGACCCCAAGTAAAGAACGTCATAGGTGATCTCGTCTTACCAGATGAGCTCGTTTCATAATTTGCCCAGCTAAAGTAGTCGGGTTGCAGTCCCCACCCTTTGGCGCTGTTCTTCCCAACGTGTCTCAGCCCAACTAGCCAAAGGGCACTGACCTACTTTTCAGGTCCCGCTCCAACTGATTATTTCAGGTGGACGGAATCAACAAGTCCCAGCCCGACCCTCTCTCTCAGAAATTCACGCCTCACCAGGGCGCAAGTTGCCTTGCACGGCTTGCTGCGGCAACTCCTCCAGTATGGTCAGCACCTCTTGCCAGAGGCACTTCTGCGTCAGCGACTTGATGGATGCAGTGACATCCTGCCCGGCTCCCCGAACTTCCCAGAAAGAAATAAAAGCAACAAATGTGTGAATGAAACAATGTGTTGGGCGAAATGTGCAGGAACAACTTAATATATTTTGAGGATGATCTTGAGGAAACGAACATGTTCAGTCGCTAGTGAGGTTGACTGGGTTGATGGACAGCTGAAAACTACTTGGCTAGTCCCGTGCAACGTCCAGGAGCGAACCATCAGAATCCACACTTGGATGCGTCTTGAAAGAACCCTCACTCCCGTTAACTCGGGAATAATCCAGAGGACCCTGCTAGCCGGGGAACGCCCCCCAAAAAAAGGTCTGCTTACCTTACTTTAAGGGGACTGCAGTTGATTTGTGGTCCGCCAGATGAATCCGAAGCTAACGTTACTTTCTTCGAACCCTGCCACTGGACACCGGGCAATAGCGCCTGGGGCCGCGCGCGGGTGCTTCCCGGCATGTCGGAAGCAAGCCATGGCACACGCCGACCCGCGCCCGAAACGTCACGCGATAGGACACGTGCTGCTCCAAGCGGTTTCTTAGATATCTGCTCGCTTGGGGGTCTGCACACAGCACCTTTTGGTTGCCAATTCACATGCAACCAGCACCTGGTACCAAGGGGGCCCGCGCAAAGCCCGAAATGAAAAAAACCAGACGGGTGGATATCTGCACCGATGACACGTGGAATGTCATTCACGGGAAGCCTCACTTGCCCGCAGGTAGCCAGCTGTGTTTGGGGGTTGATCCACATTCCTGGCCCCAAAATGACGATGGGTAGGCTTCTCCAGTTGTCATGTTTGTTGCGGTTTGCCTGCTGGTCAGAGCTCGAAGTTTGAGTGAAACACCAGCACCAACGACTGCTCCTTCAGCTTTCCTGCCAGGAAGGGTCCCAATGAATTTGGGTACACTTCCATACGCGCCCAGGGGAGCACGAGGATTGCCTGTGCCAGCAAACGCCCGCACCTGCTGACCAAGGGAACCCATCTGCGCTCACAGCACCTTCAAAAACCTCGGGCATCACAGGCCCTGAGAAGTCCGGAAGCTGCACATGCGAGCTCTGAGGCCCTTGCGCGGGGGGTTCGTCCTTCACTCGGGCCGGCATGGCAGGCATGCGGCAGCCGCAGCGGAAATCCCTTCCACCTAGGAATAGATGCACCCTGCTAATTCAGAGTGTTGTTTCCAGGCCCCAAATCTCCCAATGCAAATTCGAATTACCCAACAACTAAACCAATTCTAAACCTGCAAATTTGCCGCCCACCCCAACCTCGGTCTTGTAAGGGGACATTTTTAGAACCAATGCTAAACCAATGTTAAACCGAAACCAGCGCAAATCCAGATGACTTAGATTTCTGCTGTTTGAATTCCTTACTCGGAAATTGCCATGTGACAACTATATTTATTGGGAAGAGGGGGTATTTATTATTTGGGGGAACGGAAACTACCCCAATCAAACCCAACAACTCGTCAGCTTTAGGACCTTGCAAATAGTCAACGCTCGCGCCCAAAAGATTTGACTGCCCAACTCTTGAGGGTCCTTATTGTTGTGTTAAGACACACGGGTGAAGTCAACACTGAACCGGGCCTGCAGTGTTTCCAAGGTGCACCAAGTCATCAGCATTCTGCTTGGTTGGAACGAAACAGATTCTTCGCTGCAGTGTCTGGCCTGCTGGTTGATCGGAAGCCTTCCCCATGAAAGTGTCCCCGATCCATTGCTGTTAAGGACTCTATGAATATGGCCACTACCTGTGCAACCTTCCCGCTTTTGCAAGCTTGGGCAATGCATGGTGCTGCTACTTCTAGCCTTTGTGCCACATACGCCGATTGTCTGACTCCTAAATGTGCTTTATGTTTTACCTTTCTCTGGCTGTGTCCAGGTGACGCAGGATTTCTCGAGGCCCGCGTCAGGACTGCTCAGAAGGCAGAACGCAATGCAATGTTCGATCACATGAACCCAAAACGGACATATTTGGCCTCACCAGCAGGGTCCTGTTGGCACCTTTTAGAGGGAAAATCTTGGCACGCAAAAGCACCCTGCCCGTTCCGCAGTGGCCATCCCCCTGCAGTTTGCCACAGCACGCGAGGCTCAGGAAATGATGCAACTGGTGGGATTTCAGGTAAATGAAAGCGGCGCCCTGCTTTTTACCAAACTAACCTGAGAACCTTCATGGATCTAGGGCCAAAGGACCGGCCCGGCCGGCAGGCAACTTGCACAACAGCTCCAAAATCTGCGTCAAAAACCAGGGGACCGCATGTTCAAGTATGGTATTTGCAGGCTATATGGTTATATGATAGTTGTACGCCACTTGTACACCGGTTGTATGCTTCCTTCACGGAATCGCGCCCCGAACAAGAGCAATGCCTGCCCTCCATACGTACATGAAACTGCCCTCGGCTTGCTATTGGTTGATCTCTTAGCGTCCTTCCTTCCGCCCGATGGATCAACTTGGATGCAATCTCATGTCCGGCATGTTTGAGAGCCTAAGTTCAGAAGCAAAGGCCGGAAAAAAAAGCGCCTCGATGGACAGAAAAATGCTTGCCAACTCAAAAGCTAAGAAGTGGGAGCTCCCAAACAAGAGCGCCGTCCAGTGATGCGATCTGCATCCCGTGTGCCCATACCAGTGGATCTAGTTTCGACAGTAGGCTAGCAGGTTGTTTGGCTGTACACCTCTGGGTGCTACATCCTGGTTACCTGGCACCAAGAGGTGGACGTTTTTTTCTTAGTCCAATCAGCCACTCGCAAAACGCGCAACACGTCCTTTCAGATCTCTGAGGAAGTGGAAATTGGAGATTCATGAAGGGGCTTCTGGGACCAAGTGCCCGACAAGTGCTTGAAATTCCTCTGGTCTCCTGTCACTCCTTGCCTGACAATTCCTTTTGCTGCAGCACGCCTCCGGAAACTAACGTGGAACTACCCAAAAAGCCACCCAGTAGACCAGCCCTCTTGTTGGGAAAAGTGTTCCCGTTCATGCTTGGCCAATCCGGCTCTTTCGTACCTAAGGCACAGCGAACCTGAGACAGATCCCACGCTCGCGACCTCAACCGACCCGCCTTCAGCCCGTGGATTTCCACCTCACGAGATGCCACCATTTCTATGCCCCGGCACCGGGGGTGCCGGGCCCCTGGCCCCGGCACACATGCTAGCTTACTTAGCGGCGTCGTTGTCAGCTGTTTGGACATTTAAGGGCGGCTCTGGATGAAACACGTCAATCCCTGGTCCAAACCTCCAGTCCAAACCTCCAATTGAGGATCCTCTCAAACATGGCTTGGTGCACTCGACAAAGCCGCTGGCTGCACAAAACCATCGCTCTTGGATTTGCAAGCTTCTTCTAGAAACACTTTAAAGGCTATGCACTTGTCTCGCCTGAAAAGTACTCTTTCCACGGTCCCCGCAAAACTTTGAAACGTCAGCGGTTTGGCAGAAAGCAATCCTTCCATTGACAAGGGCACTTCCAAGCCGAAGGGTTGATGGGTGTCTGGGTACAAAGCTGCTTCGCGCTTTGGACCTTCATAGCATGGCTTGGCGCAAACTCACCTTATTTGACACTTGAACTTCCACGTCTGTTGGAGGGTCGCCAGGGGAAACCCCCATCAAACCCAAGTGCCACGGAACACGTTCTGGCGCTTCTCTACCCCAAACTGAGCCATGCCTCGTGGCTTCCTCGGGGGATCCTGGGCGAAAGGAGATGGCACAACCAAAAGAGATTGACGTGGGTGAGTTTTTGGGGGACGCCAAAAAATTATAGCCTATAGCTGTCCCTTTAGTTCTCCCTATCACCACCAAAAAAGGGGTCCCCACAAAAAAAAGCACCCAAATCGGTGTGGATGCCTTTTTTTCTGGTGGCCGGTGAACCCCTTGAAACTCGGGCTTTATTCAACGGGCGCCCGGGCCAGCGCGCCCACCGAGATGCTTTGTCTCGGACACGGCCTGGCAGAAGCAAAGCCAGAGCCAACAGAAGCCAAAGGCCCATTCCAAGCAACTGCCACCCGCCCGAAAGAATCCAAAACAGGGGCCCACCACCTGGGGGCCGACTTTTTGCCCATTTTCTGTGGGCCTGTGGGTCCCGAACCAAGCCGAGGGGAGAGAAAGGGCTACAATTCGGTCCCTGACACGCGTGCCCTTGAGTGGCCATTCACCCCCCCGGGCACCAAGCACCACGCCCTTCAGCCCTTCAGCCTTCCACCAAATTCCATTTCTGAACATCTACCTCAGACTCTAGCCTCAAATCATTCGACTGCAGCCCATGAATTTGGTGAACCTTAAACATAACAAAAGTTGCAAACCAAGATCCCAGAAATGGTGTCCAAGCGATCGCCAGGCACACACGCCGCGCTGCGCAGTGGGGCGCGCCTGCGGCGAGAGTTGGGTCTTGGCATGGTAGTTTTCTCTCGAACGAGCCTTTTCAGTCTTGGCCAAGATTAATGCAGCTGTCACATTAATGAGGGCCGCGATATTTTGACCTAGCCACATTGGTACCCACCACCCAGCCTATTACACGGCCTCACGGCCTTCGGGATGCCTGAAAAACTCCCTTAATGCTAAAAATGTTGACCCACCTAAACATTCTCTCCGACAGCTCAATATGCATCCGCCGCAACTCTGCGGAGTTCTCACGTGACATCCATTTTGGCAAGCGCGGCACAACAGAGATCAAACACCAGGCCAAACAGATGCGGCCCTAGGCCCTAGGCGAACGCTTTCAGTTTTGGTGGCGAGGGAAAATCAAGGAAAGCCAACAAGGCGACAAGTTAAAACGGTAGGCCTTGTGTCTGGCAGTGAAAGGACATCAAACCGAATTTCGCCACATGGCCGCTAGGCAAAGCCGCTAGGCAGGGACATGCAGGAACACAAAATTAGAACCTTGCAAGTCACTTCGACCTTGGCCCCAAAGCGGGGCCAGCTGCAAGGTTGCCCCGAAGGCCCAAACATGTTCAAGTACCTCCCCGCTTTCAAACCCAGTAAACAAATGACCTGGGAGACAACCTTGTACATTAGATAAGCTTTCCTCCAACAGTGAAGGATCAGTGAACAATGTCTGCATATGCCTGCCAAGCGGGACATCCCCCAAACAAAATCAATCAGGGGTTCTCAATCCAGGCTTAGCATTTGAAAGCAGACACCCACCCCGTGATGAGCACGGCTGTTCCAAGCACGGCTGTTCACCCCTGGGGGTGAATTTTATTTGGAGGGTCACTTGGGCTGGTTCAAAGCTCAGTTCCTGATAGGCCCAAAAAATAACAAACTTTTTGGTTACCACTCAAATGCCCCAAACCCAAAAAGTTGAGAGAAAAGTCCACTCACTCCCTGAGTTCCCGGACTTTAGACTTATTACTTATTGGGAAGACCATCTTAGTAAACAAAAAGGTTGGCTAATTATTAATTACTTGTTTTGGCCAATCCACGCAGGAAGCCAGGAACTCAGGCAGTGAGAAAGCAGAACACCGGAACCCACCCACCCGCGAATTCTCCGGTTGACCCGAGCGAGCGGGTTTGCACCTTGGCCTCGGCCTCCCGGAGCCTGGCGCAAGCATCGTCCGCCTCCTGACAGGCGTGCTCCAACCAAAAAGGGTCGTTTACATGCTTTGGTTGGCTTCAACTTGAGGTACTCCCTGTAAGACCCAGCAAACAGGGGTACTCCCGGGAAGAAAAAAAAAGACACACCCAAAGAGCAGGTCGGAATCTGGCCATGTGAGCCTCATACGTTTGAACGCGCCGCACAGGCCCACGTAAGAAGGGCAACAGCCTTCCCGAATTCCACTGAACAACTGGGAAGCACTGGCAAAGAGTGGCTACAAGGGTAGCACGACGCCCGTTGCACATTTAAGTTGAAGGGGATGACTACGCCAAAACTTGGGACTCGTGCCATCTACTTTCAACCACCCACTTCCTGACTTGATTGGCGAAAAATCGTCAGAACGTTGCATTTAAAATGATATTCCCCCAAAGGTATGAAGTCCAGGAACTCCTTGGGAGTGACCCCCCACCGTGCCAGCTTTTGACGAGGGGGTGGGCAGGACCAGCCCTCACCCCACGGCCCCAGGCGCGGCCATCCTTGAGGGCTGCGGCCAGCTCCTGTCAAGGACTTCCTTTATCTGTCTATCTTAATGTTGCATCTCATCTAAAAAGCATTATGACACTAATCAAATATCATGATGCAATAATTCTAAAGAAGATTCTAAAAAAGAAAACAAACAATAAAGGAAAAGAAAAGGACATGACATCATAATTCTTCTCTTCTTAGCCCATTTTGAGGTTCATGGAAAATGGAGCCCATCACCTTTGGGGCTGCCATGACTAAAAAAGGCCATCACTGAATCAAACAGGGGAAGCCAAAAGGTCAAATCAAGTCGATTTGGGCAGCGTGGGATCAAACATGGGGGCCTTTTGCAAGTACCGCGGCACCTGCCGTCGGCACCGGGGCCCCGGTGGCCATATGACCCCGGACCCCCACCATGAGTGGAAAAATCGAAAACAAAAAGAGGAGCAAAACAGCAAAGCTTAAAAACAAGTGCCCCATCAATGCAAAGTATTGAAGACAAAACCAGTTGTTTAGCACCCGAATGATCAACATGACCCAGCAGGGAACCCCTACACTGTGCAAGAAGGTGATGCTTGAACCACCCAGAAATATTGACATTCGGACCAGGGTTGACCCAACCCTTTGCTTAAACATCTTTAAGCCGGTATTGTTCATACATCCTGTCACCTTGCCTGCCCAGGCAAGGGTCTAAACCGCTTAGCGCTTGCCCTCTTGACGTCCGGTCTCGTCTCCTTCTTGAGCACCTCCAGCTTCGGTTCAGCGCCTGCCCGGAACACACGGTGCTCCTTTGGTAAAATAATTGTGTTTCAATTGGCAAGCGTTTCATTTTCTACGATACCCAGGGAAGCCCCTTGAAAGTACCCCCCCCCCCCCGCTCCCCTACAAAATCACCATTTTCGAGCCTTATGACGTTCTCGTGGCCTTGATCCAAGCGGGGAGGTAGGCAGGACTGCCATTGACATGGCATTGGGCAGCCCAAAATGACCTCCAGCCGATGGCATCAACGACCCAAACACATGGCTGATGCAAAAAGAAAACACAAGTAGAATTGCGGAACTGCCGTCAATAACACACCGCGGAACCTCCGCTGCCAAGCACGATCAAGCCCAGGATCCCAAGAAAATCAACAAATTCGACCGCATCAACTTGGGCAGGCCTGGCAATGACTGCCCTGGGTGCGGCGGTGTCTCCTGGCTGCTCAAAGGAATGGACGCTGGACACCCCTCCCCGATCTTTTCCTGGCAAAGGGACAAAATGGGAAAGAGCCCCCAGGAAACCCGGTGCCTATTTGCAACCAGGTTATGTTTCTTGTTCTGAGTTTGCAAAATGGGCGCTAGGTGTCCGTGGCACGAGAGCCCCCGTCCCCACTTGATTTCTCGAGGAAAACGTATGGTAGAGGCCCTTTCTTGATGAAACCACGGGAAAATCACGTCCATTTCCAGGTCCGTGCGAGCATGGCGGAAGTTCCGCTGAATTCGCTGATCCAGCTGCTTGGGGGACTTGGATGGCCTAGAGGGCCAAAAGACTCACAACCACAGGCGCAGGGGGTTTTTACACGGCTTTCCAAGATTTTACCAGGCTCTGGGGCTTGACTAGCATAGCCCTACGTCTAACTTGGAAATTCGCGTGGGGGTTATTTCTTGGCCCAACACCACAGAATCCTCCTCATAGAGCCAGCACATGCATGTAACATGCGTTCTGAGATCCAAGATGTTGGGCAAAGTGTCCTCAATTTTCTGTTGGTTCTCAAGTCTTCGGTGAGCACGGCCATCGAAAGTCCCAAACTGAGCAAGCCTTGCAAAACACAGGGCCGACCTTGTTCGCGGGAAGCATGCAAAGGCAACCACCTGATTTCTTGACCACTGCTGTCTTGCCCAAACCTTATTGCAAACAGCTGGTCGAACACGGCAGACACCAAACGCCCAGTCACCACTTTCACACGCCGTTCCCTCTTGAAGGATGGGCAACTTCCAGCCGTGCTTTTTGCAAACATCCCCCACCTGCAAAAGCGCACTCTAAATTTGCCCACCACAAGGGTGATGCTAAAGACTTCACCCCACACAAAAGAACAGGTGGATTCTTGTCCGGGATGCTGTCGGGGGGCTTCAATGTTCATCTTTCATGGTCATCTATAACCAAACAGGAAATCCGATTCCAACCCACTCCGCATCACAGAGCCACTTGACCGAACCCTGGTAGAAAAAGAGAAACCTTTTTCCAGGTTGAGGCCGTAAGTTGACATCTGATGTTCCTGTGTGGTCTGGGTTGGGATCCTGCGATTCCAATGGGCGCACCAACCCTTGCGAGCCTCATGCAGGCTTCGCAGCTGCTGAACCAGCTGCCGATCGCAGTCCCGGAGCAAGCGGTTGGGGCCCTGCACGAGGCGAACTCAGAGACTCGACTCCACTCCCGGCTTCTTGGGGTTGGGATTTAGGGGCTGGGGGCACAAGCAAAGCTTCCAGCTGGTTGGCGGTGAGGTGCAGAGTCTCAGCTGTCTTGCATGAAATGGCAGCTGAAAAGCCGAACAGTTTGCCAGAGCACTTTTTGGAACCCCGCCAAAAGGGGCACGGTGGTACGAATGACCAAAAATAACGTGTTCCTTCGAGGGTGGTCGGACATCGCGGTGCATTTGAGTCAAGTCCCCGACAAGTACAGTACCGTATTTTTTGACTGCGATAAAGCCCCGTTCCTCAACAACGCTGGAGCTGCGAAGGAAAGCAGCGGTTTTCGGATGACCCTGAATCCTGAAGCGCCGCATCCAGCCTTTTTCCTTCAAACAACGGAACAGCACACCCAACAGCTGCTTGAATGAAGCAAGGTAATGAGCAGCAATAGTGCTCATACACACGCAAAGTAGTTTGCCTAGTGCGGAACATGGCTTTCCCCATCCGAAAAATACTAAGAGAAGGTCAAGAGCAAGAGGTCTCAAAAACTTGGTCGTTTCACCCCAGAAAACCCAAAGGGCCGAAAGGCCGGCGCAGTTGTTATTTTTCTCCAAAGGCAAGGCACTCACCCGAATTTCCTTGAATTTCCTGGCCACTGAGACCGATGATCCTGAGCTTCAAGACCTCCATTTCCGGCCGCGATTCGAAGGCGAATGAAGCCGCGGGATCCAACGGGCGAAGCTAATTGGCTGCCCAGGCACCGGACAAACCGCTTTTCACATGTCTTCCTTGGCCCCCTTTGGCATTTCTCACCCAAGCCAACAGTAGACTGTCGACTCCGGATTCATCAGCCTGGTGGATTACCCGGGGCCGTCTTCAAAGGTGTGCCGGATTCTCCCTCACATGAGCACCGCCCAATCAAAATCAACCAGCTCCATCACCAATCACGTTGCGTTGTCGGTGACAGCCTGTGTGCCCCTCTCGATTCACTTGATTTCTTCACTGGGCGCAGATGAGGGAGTGACCCTCTCCGGAGATAATGCAGTCTAATTATTTGGCACCACTTGGAGGAAAGAGTGGCTGACCATTGGTCGGCTCCTCCACTTTTCCACCAGCCGATGGAACGAAAACAACGCCGATCCGTCGCTGGGTGAGAGCACCTGACCAAGTGACTCGTAGCCAAATTATTTTTTTGGAGGCCCCGTGTCTAATTGAAGCCAAACCGCTAAAGGATGGCATTCGAACAGACCATGTTGCAAGACAACCCAAGGAGAAAAGCCATGAGAGGTCACCAGTCTTGAGACACCCTCTCCCTCCCTATCGTATAACTTGCCTTGAGGCATAGGGAGGGAAGTTAAGTTTTGCACGGGTGCACACTTATCCGTATCATCATACACCTACCTGGTGGCGTTTGCCGGCTCGTGGTTCAGAGGAATGGACGGCTCAAATCTCCCATTCAAAGGACGACCCCAAATGGCACCTCAAGCGGAGAAAGGAATGGCTCGAAACTGAAAGAAAGGTCAGCCTTTTGCAACGGAGAAAAATGAAAATCAATGCATATGCACCTAATGCATATGTGTGTGTGTGTGTGTTGATTAATTTGCTTATTTGTTTGCGTATTTATTTATATATTTGTTTACTTATTTATTTATTCATACGTGTTTGCACATATGTAGACACATGTACAGGAATAATACCCACATATATCCAGAGTATATAGATAGATAGATAGATATACATATATACATATAATGCATATATTATATATGTGTGTGTGTGTGCGTGTGCGTCTGCAGGCACAGGCACAAACACATTGATAAAGGTCAGAACTAAAGGACAACTGAAGCCATTTTGGGGGCCCAACCAGAGAAAGACACACCCATGTAGGGTGTGTACGTATACACTATCGTACACTCCGGCTGTGCCCTGGCTTCACCTAACGGCTGCCAAGGCCCACCTTTCACGCCACAAACACCAAATAAGGATGGTCACCTTTGCCAGCCTCAACCAACTGCTTCCCTAAGGCCTAAACTGTAAGCCTGCAACAAGGAATCCCCAAGGGACCTTCACATACAGTAGGTCAGTCAAACCGAGACGCTCAAAACCCAAGCGCGCGCGCCTCGGGCAGGCCGACGGAGCCCGCCGCCAGCAGAATCTGCTGCCATCCACCGGGCCAAGGCCTCGGAGTCACGAACGGCGGAACTGCTTCGGAACCAAAAACCAGCAGTCGCACGGTGTGGGGCTTTACGCAACCGATTCCGTGTTTCATGTCTAGGTAACCCCCCCCCAAAAAAAAAAACGGGTGTAAAAAACAAACAAGAAAAAAGAAAATGGCTGGTGACCTACTGTGGGTTTCAAGCCGAATGGGTGGCTTGGTGGTGAAACAGAGTGGGGCGTTCCCAATAAAGCCCTCTACAAGAAGCAGGGATTCAAATCCAAACCACCAGTTACACCAGTTATGGGGGTGTTCCCCTTCAAAAGTGATGAATCCCCACTAAACCCAGGGACACCCCCTATTAATAAACAGGGGCTATTTATCCGGGGTCAACATTATCAAACATGCAAAACTCAGAGACATATGTTGGCTGGTTTCGGTGTCCAAAATGAATTTGGGGGTAAAAATCTACTCCGTTGCGGATCCACTAGCCGCCGGTGGGTACGAAATGATGCACAGGTAGATTGAGTGCAAAGCTCGGGCACCGCGTTTTGGCTGGTTTCTTGTGGCTTTCCGCAAAAAAGCCAGGATGGTTACGACATCTACTCGTTTGCTGCTCACCTGGTTGTAGGTGGATCTAGTTAATCTAGTTTGCCACCGTCTGTCTCTGGTATTGTGCTTTAGGGTTTGGCGCTCATAGCCTAGACGCCCCGTGGAGTATTACGGGGCAAACAAACTGAACCTTTTGCTCTTGCTGTTTGATTTCAAACGAGCCCCCCCCCGTGGCTGAGACTGTTGGGACAATGTGACGATCATGTTGTGCGCGGGGTGCAGGGGGCGCGCCGGGTACGCGGGGCGCGCGCGAGCGTGGGGCGCGCGGGGTGCGCGGGGCACGCTGGATGCGCGGTGACTGTGGGGGGGTGCGCGGGGTGCGCGGGGTGCGCGGTTACTGTGGGGCGGGCGGGGTGCGCGAGGTGCGCGGTGCGCGGGGTGCGCGGGGTGCGCGGTTACTGTGGCGCGGGCGGGGTGCGCGAGGTGCGCGGGTGCGCGGGGTGCGCGGGTGCGCGGGGTGCGCGGGGTGCGCGGGTGCGCGGGGCGCGGGGGCGCGGGGTGCGCAGGGTGCGCGGAGCGCGCGCGGGGCGCGCGGGGTCCGCGGGGTGCGCGGCCCATGATGATGATGACTCTGTGCAATGACTCTGATGATGCTAACTCTTTGCAATGACTGTCATGATGATAACTCCCATGAACCCAACGGAAGAACCCTTCGCCATGCTTTCGGGAAAAATGTTGACCCCATATTAATCAACCCCAGTTTATTGATAGGGGGTGTCCCTGTGTCTATTACTACACTGGGGTTGACTAATATGGGGTTAATATGAAAAGGAAGCAACCCGCTGTCCCTACAGTAGTCCCATGTCCATGGCATGGCCCGGGTGCCCGACGTAAAGTCCACCCAGCGCCCGTCGGGCAGGGCGTTCCTGAGAAAGCAGATGGTTTGGACGCTCAGTTTCATGGACCTGCAATGGTGTGCTGTGGGATATCACTTACTTGCTTATCCGCCGATCCTTCTCTTTTGCAGGGATACCCTCGTACAGTCCAGTGACAGCAAAAAGGGGAGGGAAGCCAGGCTACAAAAAGTTGGTGCCACTCCAGAACTGCCAAAGTGGAACGGAAGTCATGCGGTGGACGTACAGAACTGGCCCAAGCGGATCCCGCACGCTTTTGTTGCTGTATGAAGCGCAAATGGCAAGCAATCAACAAGGTGAGCCAAGCCTGCCAATAACGCACAAGCCCCCTGAGTGGAGTGGCGTTGTGCGGGGCAGTCTTTCTTGAAGAGTCCATGGTCCATGTCAAAATGTTGGAACATATGCCGCTGTGCACCTTTTCTCTGGTGGTTGAAATTTTGGCCTTCCCAGAAGAAATTTACCTTCAAAGGGGGGGGGCAGCCCTACATGTAGTATAAAAGATTGGAAATCGGATATCAACATAGCTGCAAGAACTGCTGTACTTCACCAGAATTATCTCAGGGATTTTTAAAGAGGAGCGCACCGCAGAGTTCACAGTATGTCCAAGCCCGAGAAAAAAAAAGAAATGGATCCCCAACTGCAGGACCTTCATAGTGAGCTGGCTTTAGGGAGAATGTAGATGGCACAAGTCTCTTCCTGTCGGCAAGTAAGGGCTCGAAATAAACTCAATAACATCATGGGTGTTCTCAAAAAGGGAAAGAAATGAGAAACCTTTCACAAGTTAGGTCTACATTTTAAGCCCACAGAAACCCGACTTGCTGGTGCTCCAATCCTTTCTTCCCATGGTTTCCTGTAAGTCTCTTGGATCGTTCCCCGCCCTCAGTTGGATGGTTTCATAGGGGGCATTCCATACCTCATTCCCTATCGCACCAACCAAGCCTACCGAGAATTACAATAATTTTGGAGGGGGCCCAGTCTCTCAAACCCCCCTAGTCACCTGGAGTCATTTGAGGAAGGTCCCGCCCCAAGCCTTAAGTTCATTGAGAAACCCCGACGCCACACCGCCCACCCCGCTGACTCGGCCTGAGCTGGGCCCCCGCGCCAGGCGTAGCGCAGCGCTACAAAGGCGCTGCTCGCCGGCAGGTCCAGGCGCTCGAAGAGGGCCCAGCCCTGCACCGCCTGACTCGGTGACTCGGTGGCAAGCAGTGGCGAGCGGCGACAAGGGGCGCCCGCGGGGCGTGTTGCCAAAAGCGGCTGAGGTGGGCAGATGCCATATGAAGGCATGCATGAAAAAAAACAGCAGATACTAATAACAGCAAATGTACGAAGGCGTGCATGCACTAAAAAACAAATACACAAATGCCTGTGTTTTTTGTTTGTTTGTTTTTTTTTGTTGTTTTTTTTATGCGGGGCATCGACTCCAAGCTCCACGCCTGCAGGCTACCTATTGTCGCGGCCAGGCGCTGGGCGTTGACGCGGCCTTGCCAAGGTAGCACCTGAGAGGGAGAAAAAAGGCAGTTATGTGGGGGGTTTGCCACTAAACCACAAAAAATGCAACATGTTTCCCAACAGCACCGTGGCAGCGCGAGGGCAGCCAGGTTCTTGAGAAAGCGTAGGTGGTACCTATCTGTGGTTGTGAAATTTACGGTCTTGCCAAGGGCCTCCTTCTAAGCCCAAAGCTGAGGGCTGCTGACCAGCTAGCTAACCTCCAAAGCATCTATAGAAGTAGCTAGTAACAAATGTCCTTACAGGATTGATACACTACCCTCATGTCACTCTGAGAAAAGCGGCCGCAGCAAGTCAATTTGGTCCGATTTATGGCAGCGTTTTGTGTGGCAGGCGCGGCACGGTCAATGTTCACCCCGTTTTCAATTATGACATCATACAGGCTTGCAGGTGTGAAAATTGACCGCCCCACATTCTGTAGGGGAGAGGGTGTGAACAATTGCGGCGGCTCAAGAGGGCGAACTTCTATCCTATTCCGACCTGCCGCTTGTCTGACCTGGTGAAAATACTGGTCTTCTCCATTTGGTGGTGGCTCACCCACCCCCCCACCCCAAACAAACACACACAAAAACGTATCCAAAAATGGACCCCCTGCTAGATGGCAAGGACCCAGCCCCCGGTTTTCTGGTGGCTTGGAGTTCTTTGACTGACAGCCGCCCTTTCCCGGCCTGTCCGCAGCCCACGAGCGCCAAGTCCTGAGGGGAGGAATCCAGCCACAAGGCCGCCGTCTCAACGATGGGCTTGAAAAAGTAAGGCTTGATTGAGCCTCTGGGTTGACCCTCTTGATTTGGCTGTGGGTCAAAAATCGGTACCCAAAATGGAACCCAGGGGGGTAATTTTGACCCACACCCAGTTGTTCTTATCTGAGGTTTACCTTCATGAGGGGTCACAGGCCAAAGGGTTTATTAGTCCGACGTTCACCTGAGGATCAGGCACTGAAGAATGAGAATTTGGGTGTGGGACATCATGAAACCGAATTACTTCATGACCACGGGGAAACAATGCTAGTGATTGCTCAGCCCCTTGTGTTACTGAGCCACGGTCCAACTGATACTTGCATGTCTTCAACTAACTTCAACTATCTACTGCATGTGTCGCGATACCGGAACTTCTTTTTACACAGTTGCCTTTCAACTCAACAAGCAGGAACCCCTTTGTAGATGCATGCTCTTCGCGTGCACAGAGCAAGCCAGCTCTGCACGAGGAAGCCTACCGAAAATAGAAGCACCAATGGGGTCCTACCTGCTGGTTGAAACACTTGGGTTGCAATCCCCCATGCTCAATACATGTTTTGGTTGGAAGGTCCTTTGTCAGCGCCCCTTACCTCCTTCCGTGCATTCACACCTGGCAGTCAGAGACGGGAGCAAACTCGGTTGCGTCCTACGGTTCTCAACGCAAGGCTCGCCGGTTCGACATCGAAACGGATTCCATGTTGCACGACTGAAGCCTAGGCTCCCTTGCCCCATTAATGGAATGGCAAGGGACCAAATTGGATGACAGTCCTTGGGTAACAGTGGTGGTTATATGAACCCCATTGGTTTTTGATGGCGGTTTGAACGGGGTGAACGGAGCCGGATTGGAAGTCCTAGATGAAACTCACTTGCCGTGTTGGCCCACTTTTGAACAACATCAGGCTCCCTTGCCCGAAAGAGCTGCGAATGACAAAGATTTTCTCCACGGCAAGCGGGAAAACAAAAGCTGGTACCTGCCTCACGGATATACATCTACATATATACATATACGCTTATACCCTGCACACATATTCACACATGGGTTGGTTCCCATGATGAGACTAAATGGGGTGTCAAAACTATTCGAGGGACTCTGCGACTCCTTTCGGGGCATCTTGCGATCCGGGTCGGCTTGCGATCCGGGTCTGCCGGCGCGACCCCAAACATCCCGCCTCCTGAGTCGGGCCAACCACTGCAACCCGCCCAGCCTGTGGGAGTGGAGGCATGGGCATTCATGAGGCCGTGTCTTTGGGCGTCTTTTTTTCTTTTTTTATGAGGGCCCCTGTTGGTTTTGAAAACGGGAGAAACCGACATCTGTGTTTCATTGATTCTTCTTTTTTGGGAGGGCAGGGGGGTGGTTGTCCCCTAAGAGAGCCAACCAACCCCATGTGGAGAGCCAATTTCGGGCAGTCTGAGAAGGATCACCACAACAAACATGGCTCATGGATGTTTGTGGGTTTGCCAACAGGGCGTAACACGTTCTTCCGTAACCTGCCGAGTTTGATGGCTAGAAAAGTTTGAACTTCTCGGGCATTGGCTGCAAAGATAAACAATACTGCCTATGAACAGTCTGAAGTCTGCCTACCCAACAAAAAAGGTCCACTGAAAATCATTTCTCAAAAAACAAATCCAAGTGTTGAAGCCAACGAAGTGGAATGGTTGCCAACCAATGTTTGCATCCATGTCTGCTCAAGGCTTGCCCCAAGTGTCATGAAAGGCAAGCATGGAAACAACAGCGGGGCGCGTGTGGAGCTCCACGAAGCAAAGCACTTTGGCCCCAGGGAGTGAAAAGTTTTAACAAAAACACCCAAACAAGTCATGAAGCCCATTCCTGCCCACAAACGATTGAAACAAAGAAGCAAACGCCCAAAGCACATTTCAACATTGCAAAAGACCCTCAGGCCCCAAGAGGAAGCTGAATCCGACTCACCTCCAATCCTACCCTGGCTGATTCGTGTGCTAGACAGGGGGGAAATGATAAACATAGCCACCACTGTGAATGCAACAAAATGTGCCCTCTAGCACCCAGCAGCTTAGTAAACCCCTGGCTCGCTAAGCGGACCGTGTCCATTGAAGGCGGAATTCCTCAGATCCAGCACTGTAGTCTTGAAAAGGCGTGGGTATGGCAGCGAAAACGCTGTTTTTGCAGCCCCCGCCCCCTACAAAAAACGTTGACTGAACAGAACCAACCAAAAAAACAAAAACAAAAAACGTAAAAGCATGCCAACCACAGTGAACGGTGGTAGATGCCAGCGGACCGCTGCGATTCCCTCGGAATTCGGGAGGCTCCCGAGCCCCCCGCGGGGCACAAACCCTTCTTCCCGATCAGGGACCGAAGGGCCTCTCGGCAGAAGGAAAGAAACACAAAGCACGGCCGGCCGAATGCGGCGAGGCGGGTCGGCCAGGCGGCAACTGGAAAAATGGTCTTCCATTTGCTTAAGCCCCCTGGAAAAATATAAACTTAAATATGTCCAGTAGTGACGGGGCTTCCTCAGAACCAAGAGGGGGAAAAACAGTATCTGCCTGAGTAGATTTTCCAGAAAAAGTCGCAACTGTTTGCTTTCCACTACAACGGTCTTCTCAAAACGTTTGCAGTCCAGGAACTCCGGGAGTGAGTGTCCCTTTGTCTTTCCGTTCCAAGCGGAATCCCTGCGTGCGACCTGAAAAAACGTCACCAAGAAACTCATGTTGAATTGGCCATTCCAAACAGGGAGACGGGCACAAATGTCAAATGACACATGCCTGTGGATTTTGCCTTTCTTGCGCATTTCACTTGCAAGAGAGACTCCTCTAAAAGATAGCTCTGACGTCCTGCCTTGCCATGCCTCGTTGCCCTCTTTGCCCTTCTGATTGTGACAGAGGGCTCAGGTGCGATCGACTGGCCTGGAGCGTTTTGGGGGCATTGCGCTTGGTTTCGTTCTTCAGGTACCCATGGTTACCCCCTTTTTTGGGTGGCTTTCAAAGAAAATCATGCGGATCCCAGCCGTGTGAGTTCCGTTGTCGTGCAGGAAATGTGTCAGTGGCTTGGAGAAAATCAAGATCTCCGGCGCTTGCTGTGTTTGTCGTATGTATGCAGCACCCAAAACCCGTTCTACAAGCTGGTTACGGGGTTTCTGCCTGCTCGTGTGGTGACACCGCCAGGAGACCACCGGGAGACCACCAAAACAATACCGAAACACTATGACTCTGGTGCTTCTGCATTCTGGTGCAGAGCCATCACAAATCTTCCCTGAAATCGGCACTGCAAGTTATTAACATGAAGGGAGCACCTACAAAAAGGACTGGTTTTCCCTTGGCTTCCCTTTGAAACGACCCATGAAATCTTTGGCTTGGCCCTTAAGTCAACCACTCTGAATATAGCAGGCCCTTTGTTTTCCGAACTTCCGGCGGCGTTTCGATAGGGACCACTGGCCCGGGCAGGCGCCGGCTTGCCTTGTTCTCGTAGTAGACTTGCGGCCAACCGCCTTGCCGAGGAAGAAACCGTCTTAGGTTCTCCAAAACGTGCCGGGGGAGGCTTCTCAACGTGTCTCCTGATGTGGTTCCCCTTCAATCGCCAAAACTACATGGCTTTGGTCTTGGCGGTTTGCTTTTAACAGGGGGGACCGCAAAATCACCTCAAGCTTGGCTGCGTTGGTGAAACCGGCCTCATGCAAAAAGCTATTCCGTTTGCTCATGAGACAGGATTTAGTAAGCCAAACGTCGCCCAAAAGGCAATCAAGCTAACACAGCGCATACTACTTCCAAGGCCTGAGCAAACAATCAACGCAGGAAAGGATTCCACCCTCCGGCCGGATTTCTCCACATTCTAGCCATCCTAACACCACCAGGACGCTTTGTACAGCCTTCTTAGGGGTTGCGACCAGCTTCTTTCTGAGGCCCCCAGCGCGGGAAGCCCAAGCGCCCCAGCGAGTGCCTGGTGAGCTCTTCGAGTCGGTCTGGCCAGCCGCCACCAAGAAAGCGGCCAAATACTTGGAATGGCAGGCAGGTTGACACTAACTGCGGTGTGTCACATGAGTCAAATACAAAATGAAGCAAGACAAAAGCGGCATTTGTCACACACCCATCAACACCCAAACGTCGCCACCACCTTGCGTTAACGCAAAAACTAACTTCCGGACTCGTGCGCCTGGCTTCGCTCTGCCCTTTTCCTGCCCCATTCCATGCACTGGCACGTCGGTCAACGAACAGGGTTGCTCAAAGGGGAGAAATCATGGAGCATCATGAGGCAGCAAAAAAATGGTTGCCATTTTCCCCAGCAGTGCTTCTTAGCTTCAAGTCCCAAAGAGCATCCCCGACGAAACGGGTCAGCTAGCTGCCGCCTCGGGCTAACTGCCGCCACAACAGGCGGTCCAAACCGGGCTCCTTTTGGCCACTCCGGCCCAGTGGGCACATCGTTGGCAACCGCGCAAATTCGGGAAGGCCATGGAAGCTCGCTAGACGAACTCATCTCAGAGCCCCGAGGAATGATGGGCCTGAAGCTTGTCCCACCCACCCTTCACTTGCTGAGTGGATTGGGGGGAAAAGAACAAACCTGCTCTTTGCCAGGAACATGGTCTTTCCAGGAAGTATTAAGTCTGAGCTTTCAATGCTTCCCATACATGTGTAAAGCGAACGGGTGTGCCTGCGTCTAAGGATCAATACCCTTTCTGGAGTTGTTGCAAAGGCAGACCGAAGCGAAGGGCCTGGGCCATTTTGAGACACCCCGAAAACGCGCTACGGGTGGTCAAAACCAGCTCGAAGCCATTGGCTTCATGGTGACTTCGCCACATCTCCCGAGGGACCTTGTTTTGACGCACAGGCCATATGCTTGGCAACCACAATCCAGCCCCCGTGACAACCACTAAGTTTCGGGGTTGTCTCGAGGGGAAGCCAAGATTGGATCACATTGGCCTTTCTTTTTGGTACCTGCAGTTCTCTGACCCACTAGAAAGGCCCTGTGAGGAAAATGGATTTTCAGGGGGCAGAAGAGCACTGGCCAGCATGTAGGAACATCAGCCCCCTTTGGCACACGACTTGGATTTTGATAGAAATCGAGCCTGTGCACTTCCTCCTTGGGAAACTTCTCCATGGAATGACGTCCAAGCCTCCCAAACCTAAGCTTTCACCCTCAACTAAAGTAGTTCTAGATTCTGTCAACCATTTTTTGGACCCTCAAAACCAAAACTCGGAGAAAAGCAATCCACGTGTCACTCAACAGGTCCCCCCCCCCCAAAAAAAAAAAAAAACTCCCCCGCCGGAGTGGCACACAACGGGCAATTTCCCGGGGCTTGAAATCCCCGCGCCCATGGCCGCGAGGGCTCCCCCCCAATTCCACCAGACCCGCTGAGTTGACGGAACCTACGGAACCAAGCAACGAGCCAGGCACATGATCTCTGAACCTGCAGGGCCCCTCTATGGCGAGTTTGCCGAGTGAAATTGGACTCGCTGCTAAAATCAGGGGCCAAAAACAAAGGCGTTCCTGGTGGTGTCCCTTTGAACTAAGGAAACGGTTCCATTCAAAAATCGAACCCAACCACCGGTGAAGTCCATCAACTCAGCAGGCCAGCCGTGGTTTCTCGGCCGAAGCCTCCAAAGGGGGCGCGCGCGTTCCGCGCGTTCTGCGCGGACCTCCGCCCTCCCCAGGCGAAGGAAGGGGCCAAGCTGTCCAAATGTGAGTCACTCACCTCCAAGAATTCCCACCTGGTAATGTTGACCCAGGATGAATACGCCCGTCCCATTATTAGAGGGTCGTTCCCTTCAAAAGGGATGAATCCCCACTAAAACGGGACACCCCCTGATTAATTCTTAATCAACCAGGGGTTGGGTCAACATTATCTTTAAAATCTGTTCGGGGCGCCATTGCGCCAGCCATCAGCCCCGCCAAAGAAAAGTGTGAGTCTACCCAAGCCTAAGTTTCCCCGCATCCTAGGAAAGGCCTGGGCACCCTTGCGTTTTGCACAAGGGGGAGCGCCTAAGCGAGCCCAGCAAGCTCAAGCTGAATCTAGTGCATGCAATCCGACCAGACAGAGCCGCGCGCGGCATGCTGCGTCAACAGGTCAGCATGGGGGCGTGCAAGAAGTGCCCTTAAACGTGCCACACGTGTCACGCCCATCTCTCTGTGAAAATGTTGCTGGCGCGGAATCGCTCTGTGGGTGTTGCGCTCTGCCCGGCTGCTTGTGGTACAATCAATGCCCGAATTCTGCAAGTCCCGTGGCTGAGTGTGATGTGCCCGTTGCTTTATGAGAATGATTCGACGCATCGACCGGTGTCGTTTGCTCAATGGAGGGAGCTGGGGGCGGGGGGCAGGGGGATGTGAGCATGATCAGCAAGCATAATGTCTCCATTGCTCAATGCGATGTGCCCATTCTTCAGTGTGAGTCCAGTGTCCACCGTTCAGTATGCGTGTCCTACTTGGTTTAGACCGTATGCTTTGCTGATTTACCCGTATCATCACGAAGGTTTCGAAGAACTTCCATCAAGTTGACACACTCAGCCCTATTTGCATTGCGAAGATGTTCAAACTTGCTGCGTGTGCCCTGGCCCCCCATTTGAGTTCCGTGGGTGTCCAAGAGCTAATGCCAGAGGCTCTCTTTCTTCAAGCAGTCGGGGCGTAAAAGAAATCAAACTTCGTGGGGCGTTACTATCACTGTTGGACAAAGCTTGCCTCTGAAACCGGTGTTAGCTAGGTTTCTGTTTTGTTTTTGTTTTTTTTAGAAATTCGTCCCGTCTTGGCATCCTTTCGAAAACCTGGGACATTCAACAACTCTATATGGGCTAGTGGCAGCGGCCTCCAATGCACAAAACGGCGGGCCCGGGTGCGCATGGACCTCCAAAATTTCAGCTCGAAAGCTTCAAGAGTCGGTGCCTGGGTTTGAGTCCAGGCACCAGCGGCCCTGGCCTTCTGACAAGGCCCCAGCAATGCCAGCAACGGGCGACATGACCAAAGCCTACCTTGGGGTAATCAACGAAAGGAAGATTCACCGCTGGCTTCATGCAGCCATTGTTCCCCTCCTCCAGATTTCCGGTGGAATCGCAAAATGAGCAAAAAGAACCTCCAGGAATAAGCTTCACCTTGTCCATATTGGTGGTTTGGGTTGGTGATTTCGAGGTCCCCCGCAGCGAACCCACTGACCCGAAACCCCAACCCCAAAGCCCTGGGTACTTGTTGCCGCCTGCCTCCCCCAAAACAGCACAAAAACAGCAACAGGAGTGACGCGCCGGGCCTGAACATGCAGCAGGTCTCCCATGCTGCCAACCCGAAAGGGAATAGGGCTGTCTCCAAATAGGGGCCATCCAAAAAGGGTCCTCAAGCGAAATCAAAGCAAAGCTAGCTGGAGAAGTGCCTCGTTCTGCAGGCTAGTGTATTTGGAGAGGAAAAATGAAATGAGTCGCTTTATTGACCCCTCCAACGTTCTCTAAGAGCCTGGAAGGGGCGGGTGGAGGTCAAACCAATGCTTCCACATGCCAGGGGGAACAAAAACAGCACCAATAAAGAAAAGGAAGGTCTGGTTGTTAGCCAAGTGGTAACCTCCACTTCGCCCCGAGTTAACCCCCACGTAAGCCTTGTCACAAGGGTTGCTGACCATTCAGCCATCGTCCTTTCGACCGTCCAAGCATACCAAGCTCTGTCCAAGCCCTTGTTCAAACATTGTAACATGTTCAAACGGTCTTACAATCGGGAGACCCCCAAAAAAGGGGTTGTGCTGTTGCTTCCCCTTAATCCAAGAAGGGCACCCAAAAGAAGACATGCCCAAACATGTTTCAACCCTGGCTGTGTTTTGCTCAGAGTTCTTGTTGGCTTCCCTGGACTGGCGACTACCGACCGAAGGCTGCTTCAGGGATACTTGAAAGACCCTGGCACTAGAAAATTGGTACCCGGTCAAAGTTAATGAACTTCTGTCAAAATGCGGTGGGCGTCCCGTTTTACTGGAGGTTCATCACTTTTGGGGGGGGAAACAGCCCCTATTCATAGGACGGGATAATTTATCCTGGGTCAACATGACACTTTGCTCAGCTTTGATTTTTTTGCCATTTCTTAGGAAAAGCTCCGAGAGCCCTACTCAATGTTCCGCTTTTCAAGTTTCAAAGTGCTTAAGCCGCAACCCCAAAGAGGTCATTTTCACCAGACATGGGCATGTCCCATTCAAGCGAAGAGGGAAACCACCCATTCACCACGGCCGTCGGAAAGCCAGAGCCGCATGTCCTACTGCCCTACGATGCGCAAGCGGCCGCAGGCTGGCCCCGGCTTGCTTTTTGTTTTTTGTAATAATGGTGGTGGTACATTCGCGCCTGGGGCAAACGCCCTTTCAGCCTTGCCTTTGTTCAGACCCTCACTCTAACAACAGGGGAAATACAAGTATATTTACCCTTTATGAAGCCTTTCATGCCCCACCCTCACCCGAAAACAAGGTACAGTACACCCTTCATGGGGTTCACGAGCAAACCAAGGAGAATCTACTTCCACTGGGAGCTTCAGCGGTTCTTGCGGGGCCTATGCACTCAGCAGCGGCTGCTTCAAAGGGTCCTCCTCCTCCTCCTGTCATACCGAAGTGTGGAGTCCCCATGACTGCGTTGGCACCCTTGAAGCCCTACAACCCTTATGGCCATTGTATAGGAACATGGGGACAGGACGTTTATAAAGGGGTACAGCCCCTTTATACATGACTTTCGGGAGTGGGAAGAGTTGGGGGGGGCCACTTGCGCAGTTTTCGCACACATGCATCACTCCAAGCAACAGGATGCCGGTCCTTTCCCCAGTCGTGCAACAGAAACACAACACCTTGTTCCACCATGACGAAATCGCCTGCTTAGCTTGGACCTAGTCCCTCCGTGACATACCGCTACATAGGTCTGAAGAAGCACTCGCCGATTCCAAACCAGTGTTCTGCTGATTGGCCAGCAGACCTTCGTCAAGTTGCAGTCAAGACGAGCACCCCAAATTTGTGGCTTCACTTGTCACTTAACCAGGCCTTGGCGCCTGGACGGGTTAGACTAAAAAACCGAACCGGACCTCGAGTCGCTACAAGCCCAAAGGACCAAAACAGCTCGGCACCCGAAGGGTCGACTCAGTTCGCGATCCAAAAGCCCGTCCTGTCTGGGGGTGTCCTGGGGGGACGTCCTGGCAGAGTCGGGCATCTGCTTTCACATCCAGATCCAGCCCCCCACCAACTGTTCTTTTCCATGTCCAGCATCCCAAGTCCGGTCCAAAAAGAAAGAAACACACACACACACACACAAAAAAAAAAAAAACAGTTGTTGGGTACGGTATTTCGATCCAAAAGTGAAAACCAAACGGAGGCTGTTTCCAGGTTGGTGGTTGAAGCCACAGGTGGTCAACAGCTCGGTGGTTAAAACCATAGGAGGCTCTGAAATTTTCTGGTGGCCCTTTTTCACACCTGGGGAACTGAACAGAGGCTCTGACAATCCATAGGCTTTGTGACCTCTGCGTTTGCTCAATCGAAGCGGTTGACCCCTCCACCCAACCCCCCACCCCCCCGCCCCCCCTCCTTCCCCACCCCCACCTCCTTCCCCCCACCCCCCAACCACCCCCCACCCCCCACCCATCCTCCACCCCCCACCCATCCTCCCCACCCCAACCATCCCCACCCTCCCCCCCCACCCCCCACCCACCCTCCACCCCCCAACCACCCTCCCCGCCCCAACCACCCTACTCCTGGGGGACATGTGGAAGACTTTGGGCTTCGGCAGCGACAGCCCCGGCACCGCCGCCGCACCGCCCAGCCCGAAGGGCGGGGGCCGGTCGCGCTCCAGCGCGCTCGCGGAGCCGGTGCCGCGGAGCCAGGCGTCCTTGGCCTCGGGGCGGGCGCCAAAACCGCCGCAGCAGACCCAGGAGAAACCGATGCTTTTATGGCTGTTGGTGGGGGGTGGCTTTAAACGGAGACAGGGGGTGCCTAGTAGAAACGGATGCGTGTGATGTGTTTAAAGGTACTTTTGCGGGGACTTTAAAGGGGAAACAGGATTTCTTTGTTTTGTGTGATGATTAGCTTTGCTCCGGTGTGAAGAAACCAGCTCCAGGAAATTCTACAAGCTAGCCAGACAAAGGATTCGTTAAATACAACCAGGTGAGTTCTCCAAATGCAGCCAGAAAATGTTCACGCCGAGGGTTTGGGGCCAAGGGGCGTCCGCTTGCACGCCGGCATCCGCGTTGAGCGGGGATTGCCGGCCCATCGCCTGTTATCGAAACGCGAAAAAATGTTGCCTCGAAGTCGAAAGTAGGGGCGTTTCCGAAGGAACAAACGCCAAGGGACCTTTTTGGTTTAGATTTGACCGCAAGCCAAAGGGGGCCACCTGCAGGAGTTCCGGATGTTGACCTACGCCATGCCACCTTTTAGCCCTCTTCCCCAAGAGATGTTTAGTGACAGAGGGGCGCGACAACGTTGGAACCTCTGATCTCAAAGAAGAAAAGAATTATCCAGGGGTAGCTTCCCCGTGCTTTCCAGGGATACTTCGTTCCAAACAACCCGAAACCCTAGGAAAGCCGCTAACAACAGCTGAAAAGATGGGGGTTATTCTGCAGACTCTTGGACAACTCCCCTGAAACGTGAGGGTGAGAAAGATGCTCCAGAAAGCTGCTAGTTACTAAAACCTCATGTTAAAAATGAAAAGCTGTGCTGTTCGACTCAAAAGTTGGCCAATCCTGAGCCATGAATGGAAGCAACGGGGGCCACACCCTGTCGCGGAGAAACCTACGGAACAGCACATTCAAAAGAGAAAAAAGGCAGCGGCATGGCCAGGTAGGGGGATTTATTGTAAAACCAGGCTCCCGCGTTGGCTACATTCCAAATTGCAAATACATATATATATATAATATATATATATATGTGTGTGCATATGTAAACGTGTGTGTGTATTATGTAGGTGTGTAACAAGTGTATATATGTATATTGTATATTGTATATTGTATATTGTATATTGTATATTGTATATTGTATATTGTATATTGTATATTGTATATTGTATATTGTATATTGTATATTGTATATTGTATATTGTATATTGTATATTGTATATTGTATATTGTATATTGTATATTGTATATTGTATATTTTATATTGTATATTGTATATTGTATATTGTATATTGTATATTGTATATTGTATATTGTATATTGTATATTGTATATTGTATATTGTATATTGTATATTGTATATTGTATATTGTATATTGTATATTGTATATTGTATATTGTATATTGTATAATATTGTATATTGTATATTGGGTATATTGTGTATATTGTATATTGTATATTGTGTATTGGTATAATATTGACATTGTATATTGTGTATATGTATATTGTTGGTGTGTGTGTGTGTGTGTGTGTGTGTGTGTGTGTGTGTGTGTGTGTGTGTGTGTGTGTGTGTGTGTGTGTGTGTGTGTGTGTGTGTGTGTGTGTGTGTGTGTGTGTGTGTGTGTGTGTGTGTGTGTGTGTGTGTGTGTGTGTGTGTGTGTGTGTGTGTGTGTGTGTGTGTGTGTGTGTGTGTGTGTGTGTGTGTGTGTGTGTGTGTGTGTGTGTGTGTGTGTGTGTGTGTGTGTGTGTGTGTGTGTGTGGATGTATATACGCCGCATAGATGCACAACTGTACACGCAAGGGGCGATCCAGTGGGGTTGGCAATGGAGACCGCTGAATCGAGCGGCATGGGAATCCGAGTCACTCAAATGGCGACCCTGGTGAGTCTACCAGAAATCCTACCCCCAACTGGGACAGTGTGCCCTTTCACAATACTCGGTCCCCAAAACCCCCCGAGGGGAAACTTCTCTCTTCTTTCTGGTGGGGGAGTCACCCACCCCTGGCCATGGAGACTGAGAGACTTTGCAGCCCAAACCCGTACTAAAGTGTTGAAATAGACCCAAATGTTCCCCCCGCCCCCCCCCCCCCCCGCCCCAGGCCCTCTACCGGTATGAGTTTGGATAGACGCGCCAGTAAGGCAGAGTCTTTTTTTTCAAGCCCTTGCATAAGCAACCTCAACACCCCCATCCCGTGCCTGGAACTGACCTAAGGGATGCGCTCCGGCCTTCTCCTCACTCTTCGGCCGATGCCGGAAGAACATCCATGCGCCAATGGCGAGCCCCAGCAAGACAAGGATGAAAACGGTCTGCAAGATCCTCGGAACCGGACCGATTCAATCCAACCGCTAGACACCCGTCCACCTGGATCAAGAGCGGTCTAGAAAAGATCTCAATCCATCCTCCCCTAATTTCCCTTAGGGGAGATGCTAAGAACATATTGGCTACTTAGCAATTTAGGACCCAGTTGAGAACCCTCGTCCATACTTTGTGCTACTCACAATGCGATTTGTTTGCCTTTTTTTGATGGGGGGGGGTACATATGAGCCATGGGCACGTTCCCGCTGCATACTTCCTTACGCGGCTGGGAATCTCGGAACTGCCCCGTGGTTTATCCTCAACTAGGGCAACCCAAAGGCAAACTTCCCCTCGGACCGCCAACGCAAAGCACCAAGCAATGGCTGTCTGACCAAAGGGGCACCAGAGCAAAAAGAAACACAGGCGCAAAGGCGTGGCTGGTTGGGAGCTTGAGAAAAAGGGGCCAAGAGCATCACTTTCTGCAGATCACACACATGTACATGACGGGTTGCCGCCCGTCAATAACTTGGAACACCACTTACCCTCGTTTTAGCAACCCTGGAAGTGAACAGGGTGCCGTTTCAAGAGGACTGTGGTCTTCAAAACCCTCCTGTCAGCTATGCGGGGGGGGGGACTCACACGAGGGCACTGCCAAGACCAGAAGACCGGTTTCCCTTGAAAACAAAACCTTGTAGCGCCCTTTGGGTCGCCAAGGGATCCTACCTGGGCAAGCAAAGTGTTTTCCCCACAAAAGTGCTCCATTTCAAGCAATTTATCTTTACCTTCTACTGGTACGGCATCAAACAAACTCCTTCACATGTTGCAGCCCAACGACAACGAGCACAGAAATTTAACGCGGAACTCAATAAAGTGGTCCTTTCCAAAAAGCAGGTTTCTCTAAACTTGGCGGTTGTTTTGGCTTTGTAGGCAAAAGGGGTCCCCCTTTATTTCGTTGACTTTACCGCAAAACCCCTCCAAATAAAGGGAACAACAGCGCCAGGTCTAAGAAAAGGATAAAGAATCAGCAATCAAAGCGCAGGGCCTGAAACATTATTTTAGTGCTCTTAAAGATGCATTCCAAAATCACATGCTTCAAGGGGATCCTGACTCGTGTCTACAGTACGCCAGGAGCCCATGCAAACTGTTTAGGCCCTCTTTGCAGTTAAAATACCCCAACGCCAACCCCCCCTTCGCCAAAGGCACAACAGCTCTTCCAAACAGCCAATCCAAAGAAACAAGCAATGGCTATCTGACCAAAGGCACCAGCGCAAAAACAACACAAGAGCGAAGGTGTGGCTGGTTGGGTGCTTAAGGAAAACAGGGCGTTCTAGCAACCTGGAAGTGGACAAAGTGCCGTTCAAGATCTGTGGTCGTCAAAAACCCTCCTGCCAGCTATGCGGGGGGAAAGAGGCACACGCGGGAATACTCATACGAGGGCGATGCCAAAACCAGAAGCGGTTCACCTTGAAAACAAACCTTGTAGGGCCCTTTCTGTCGCCAAGGGATCCTACTCACTTCCGCCAGGCAAAAGTGCTCGATTTCAAGCAATTCATCCAACATCAACAACAACTTCACATGTTGCAGCCGAACAATAACGAGCACAGAAATTTCACGCGGAGCTCAAGAAGGGTCCTTTCCAAAATGCAGATTTCTCAGCGAACCGGGATCCCAAAACGGATCGCAGTTTACCTCAAAAACCAGCAGACCTGCAGTCGCCTGAGAAAGGGGCACCCCTTTGAGTTGTCTCTAAAGCGAAACCCTCCAAACGAAGGCGGAAAACAGCGCCATAGATCTAAGAAACGGATAAAGAATCAGAAATCAAAGTGCATGGCTTAAAAAAGGATTTTGTGCCCTTAAAGATACATCCCAAAAACACATGTTTCAAGCGGATCCTCTCAATCAGCTGGTAAGCCTGTTGCTTTTATGCAACCCGGCAAAAAGACTTGCTTTCTCTTATGATCATGACTTGACTTGTTTCTAAAGCACACGACCCCATGCAAACTGTTTGGGCCCTCATTTGCAGTTGGGATTCAACCCGCCCCAACCCCAACCCCTCCCCCCAACCCCACCCCACACCACCACCCCACCCCCACCGCGCACCCTCCCACCCCCCCCTCGACAAAGGTACAACAGCTCCGCGCGGTCCGCTTCCACGGCGGTGCGCAGCTCTTCGGACTCGTGCTCCTTTGGGTTCTGGCTATCCACTGCAAACCAGGGCTATGGGAAGTGACAACTTCTGTGATACAACAAAAAGGGCCTCCCAAAACTAACCCCCCCATAAAAACAGGAAGTTCCCTTGTATCACAGAAGTGGTTGGATAAACCCCTTGATCCCACAACCCTGCAAATCCCAAGCCACCCACACAGACGAGTTTTTTTTCCGAACGGAAGCTCCCGGATTTGCCCGCATGAGGTTCGTGGTCGAAATTCCCGGGACTCAATCGGGAGTGAGCTTTAAAATGGACGTCGAGCTGAAGCATCAGCTGGTGGCGTCCTTTGAGGGAATCCCAGGGCTCCACAAAACCCGTGCCTTAAAGGATGCATCCAATTGCTACCTGCTTTGCACTTGGGGATCCGCTCTCTTTTTGCTGGCAAATGTGTTGTTTTTGCTTGGCCCATGTGTGTGCTTCAACATGAACCGTCTCCAACGATCTCAAGATGAAGGAAATTGAAGGAAACCAATCCGGGCGGGGGGGAACAACACCATATGCCTACTCAACATCGCGCCCTACATCAACCTGAAACCAACCACCCTTGAACAGCTCTCAACCCACCCTGGGGGTTGGAGACGGCGTGTTCCGAAGACCCGCAGAGGTTGCCCGGGCTACAGCAACAAATGACCCTTTCAGATTCTATTTAGATTTGATCAACCTTCAAATGGCTTTAGGGAACCACCTCCAGAGTGATTGGTAGGCATGAATCCCCACCTAAATGATGTCTACCAAAGGGGTATTCTATTCAAATCACGCCCAAATGAAAAAAGAAAGATCGGGGGAAAAAAATCTCGCTCGAATCGAGCGACCGGATCTGTCCTCGTGCTCCTCCTCGCTCCGGATATCCTCCTGAGCTACGAGCTGGGCTCCAGTGCTCTGGGCACCCTTCAAAGAGAAACCTCCAGACCACCTGTCGCCATGGCCTGTTCTTTTGGTAGCCGATTTAAAGAAAGGACACTGGGTGTCTGGGGTGACTCTACACTTCCTCCCCCTGAACTTCTTGTTGGATTGGGGTGGTGGAAATGCAGTGCATCAATTTTGAGACCCGCTCGTGCGAGGTACCTTCAATTCACCATAATTCACCATAATTCACCATCACCATCCAATTAAGGCAAAACACCAAACCATCACTGAGAGCTGCCTACATGTCCCGCCTTCCAAAAGTCAATGTGGGGGACCTAGGGTGGCACCACAGCAAGCGGAACAGCCATGGCTTCAAAGTCAGAAACTAAGGGTCCTTACGCTTCGAAACCAAACAAGGGACTCCTCCTTAATGGCACCCTTCCCGCCCTTCCGACTAACATGGAACCCCAGAAGACGGTTCGTTTAAAGGAAGATAGTCAGGGGTAGCTGGCCACACTCATTGACCCTTTCCTTGGAAAGTTGCACCCCAAAAGTAAACAGGAGGTTGCTTGTCGACCAAACCCCAAAGGAGAACCCTCCAGCGCTGGATACGGCGAGGCACCAACGACCTTCTTGCCTCCACCAGCTGCCGCTGCTTCTCCTTGAGCTCGTCGCCTCGGAACTTGCCCGGATGTTTGGCCCGATTCGGGGCGGATGGAAGACATCCAATGCTTGGTGGCGAAGTGGGCCGCAAGAAGAAAACGGTCCTGGACATCACAAACACGTGATGCCTCGAGATTCGGAGACCAGATGTTCTCTTGAGGCCAACTCAAAGCTCGCTTGCACCCTTGGAAGCAGATGCTGTCCTTTTGCAAGACTCCGTCCAGCGAAAGATGAGCCAAGTCTGTACTATCCACGGTACCTTCCTTGGCAAACTCGCTAGACATGAATTACTAAAAACATCTTAACGCAAGAACAACATGGAGAAACATACTCATGTCCAAGCCTTGGATTCGGCACGTCCAAACCAAGGAAATCTTCAGGTACCCCGCGCCCGCTTCCCCAAGCTTTATTGGCACCCCTAAATACGAGCTTCGCACGCTTCCCAGTGTTTTTGGTACACTGGCAAGGTTCTAGCAAGTTCCTCATCGGCTTGGAGTAACCCTGAGCTTTGCGCCGGGTGTGAAATAGGATGTCTGGAGAACAAGGGAAAAAACGTTTGGCTTCCTGAGGCAAAAAGGCATCCAACCGCCCTTCCCCATACTGGTTTCCAAATACTTCGAGCCTAACTTCCGGCCAGCAGGGAGGGGACCTCCCAAAGAGCTGCCCCCGCCTTGCTGGGCCTTGGCCGACTTGGCCTGCATTAGCTCCTGCACAAGGACACCCCTCCCTCCCCAAGTGACCGTGGAATGCAAAGCCGTCCTTTTGCCGAACCTGCTTTGGGACGAGCGTGGCATACCCCCCAAAAGCCAAAACCACTTCGGCTGGGGGACCCCCCGGCCTTTTTGGGCTCCATGTGAATTTGCGGGGCCCGCAAGACGCCTTCTAGTTCAAGGGGCTGACCAGTGAGGCCCCGTGAGGCGAACATCGCGAGCAAAAGGTGAATCTCCCAGAACGCCTCACTGCGCAGAGGAATGCACTTGGCACATCACGCGCATGGACTCGTAGGCAAAGCGCACAAACACCTATCTCTTGTTGCTACACGGATGGCTCAAAAAATGCCCACTAGTAGGACCCGACTCTGAATTTGAACATGGGGCCCTGCGGTGGTCACTTGTTCATAGCCCCCTAAATTAAGCGCCTAAATACTTAGCCTAAGTCTGCGGGATGCGTAACCCAGCCTAGTCATTGCTCTAGGTCAACAATTCGCCTTATAGCAATGACCTCCTAAGTCAGCGACTACATGACTAAAAACACGGCATCAACGACTCACATTTATTGGTGTATAATACATATACATATATATATATATGTGTGTGTGTGAGGCGGATCATAATGTCAGTGCGCGGTTAGAACCCCGTGATTAAAGATTTTCCAATTGCCTCCCAGATTCCCGCCAATACCAAAGCAAAGGGCCAACAAGGTTTGCCCAGCAAATACTAGGCCATTAAACGCCTCAAGTGTTCCCCAAAGCCGTGCTCTTACGTCAGTTTGTCTAAAATGAAAAGGTGTTCAAGCTCGCAAAGAGGACCCCCTTGGAGGCCAGCCCCCCACCCCATTGACAGAGACTTCATTGATTCATGGACTCCTCATTAATCATGGAGGTCCTCAATAAAATCTCAGTTTTGGGGGGCTTGTCCAAACCTTGTCGACCTTGCAGGGAGCGGGGGCCTGTGCTATTCAAGGATAACCATGGTAGCCAGTGTTGCGTTTCGCCCCTTATGATATCCTGCTTTCTCCGGTTTACTTCATTTACACCGGTTAGCCCTTAAAGGGAACTCAGGATGAATAGAGCCTTGTTTATCTATGTGGGAATGGTTTCTCCAAAAGTGGTGAACCCTCACTAAAGCCAGGCACACCCCCGGGGCTTATTCTCCCACAACCTTGATCCGCTTATCTTGCTGGAGCTCAGTAGGGAATGAGGCACTTGGTGGTTCCTTCCATTTCACATTCCCTGGCACACCCATCGCAAGTTATATCACCCGGAAGGGAAAAAAGACAAAGTGAGAAAACAAAACAAAACAAAAACGGCGCCTGCTGCGCCTGGCGCAGCTGGCGCTGGGCGTCCGCCGCCGCCGCCACCGCCGCCGCCATGGCCGCCTCCGCGCCCGCCTGTGGGGGGTGGAGCCAAAGGAAAGCCGGGGGTACTTGGGGGTTTTGGGAGCTTTGTGGGTTCGTGGGTGGCGGGGTTTGGGGTTTTGGGGTTTTGGGGTGTTTTGTGGGGTTTTAGGTGGTTTTGGGGGGTTTTGGGTTTGGGGGGTTTTGTTTTTTGTTTGTTTTTGTTTTGGGAGGTTTTGTGGGTTTTATTAGGTTTTGGGGGGGAGGTTGGTCTTTGGCAAAGCCTCCTGAAAACTGAAAACCCCCAGAATACTGCGGTAAACCCACCGTCCGATCACCCGGAATCCAGTTGCAAGTCCACTTTCTGGGCCAGCTGCGACAAATGTTACAAGCCATCGTTTCTTCGGCGGAAGCTCTTTTTGTGAGACCCCGTTTGTGGGTTCCATGCTTCGAGCTTTTCTCTGGGCCCGCTTTGGCAAACCCTCCAAAACTCTGCCCCAAGCCAAACGCAGTAAACCCGCTGGCCGTTTTTGGTACATGCTCGTCCCCCCAGTTGCACCAGTGCCCCCTAGTAGACGAGTCTGGGTGCCCCTTGACAACTTGCAATAGGCTCCGTTGGGTGTTGCAAAACCTCACTAGCCAACATGAATTCAGGAACCCTGGGGTAAAATGATTCACAGGCGACGTCATGGCTGCAATTGTTTGCTTTGCCTGCAGGTGAGCTCGCATATTTGCTGACAAGTCCCTTTCAACCCCTCCTGGTGTGACCATTCTGGTTGAACTCCCCATTTTGTCCACCAATCGAAAGAAGGCAAAGCTGCTTGGTTGCAAAACGAAACCATTGTCAAAGAGGGTGCTCTCCAACACCCTTCGTCCAGCAAGCACCTTTTGGCAACAACTGCGAGAACCTGGGTAAATTTGTGCTTACCAACCGAGAATCGGAGACGCCTATGAAAGAAATCTTGATCATAGGCATGGTCATAAACTAAATGCTGTAGTTTGTGCCCCCCCCCAAAAAAAAAAAAAAAAAAAAAAAAAAAAACGAGCCAACCCCAGCCCCCCAGCAGATTTGTCGCTAGGTCGCCCTACCCACAAGCCCCATTTTGCCCAAAATGGATCTGCACAAAGAAACCGGAAGGCTTTCGCCCTTGAGACATTGAGGTGGGTGTGTCTCACCCTAGGTCCATGTAGATTTCCT